TGAGTTAATTAGTTTGATTTCATGCTTCAAGTGTCGAGCATCCACTACGGATTGCCAATTCCATTTGCCAACTCATTAAAACTTCTCCAAGTTCGCTGGCTCCCCAGTTGCACGATGCCTCGGCAAATTGGAAACGCTTTCAGGCGACTTTCTCCAAATGAATGTCAAAACAGAAAGTATTCAAATGGCATATCTGACTCGTTGCCTTTGTCCCTCTCGGGTCCATCTTATATACACAAATTGCCTGGCAAAGGCACTTACTCGATGGCAAAAGTTATCAATTAGTTCCGACAAGATTTAATAAACCGTGAAATTTTAATTAAAATGGAGAAAAGTATTGTGAAAATCAAAATGAATCCTTTAATCTAGATAGAAGTTTTTCTTTTAAGGATATTGATTGGGAAGTTATAAGTTAAATACAGCTTATCACTTGGTATATATTAAAGTGTTTTAACTCATTCATTTTGATTCATCCTTCTATTATAGCACATATTATTTCCAAATTAAAGATATGCAATTTTAATCAATCATTGGTCATGACACTTGCTATTTGGTTTCCTCAACATGATAGAAACTTACACCCGATGGATGGACAGCCCGGAAAACAAGGTTTTTCTCATTTAGCAAGGTTGGGAAATGTATACTTTCCAGCCCGCCCCGAACTATATGAAAAACTCAACAACTGAATCAAAAGGAGAACTACATGACAGCAATGTAAATGCGATATGTAACATGTAATTTCATTGCGCCGACAATGGAGGATGGTGATGGCGATGATGATGATGATGATGGTGCTGCGGACAAGGATGCGAATAATTGTGGAATACTACATCCAACGAGGGCCCGTGTCAATGTCAATGTAGAGAGTACAGAATACGGAATATACAGAGGAACGACATGAGGACCGACATGTGGCTCTGATTAGTGCGGTTCAGCGACATCAACAATCAATATTAATGCATGTCAGCGCCCAGCAATGTGAGTGTGTGCGAGTGAGTGAGCAAGGACATGGCCATAATTATGAGCCCATCAACGCAATAGTTGGCTCTTGGCTGTTAATAATTCTCGATTTCCCCGATACTGACAGACAGAGGATGGCATATCTCTCTACCTCCATTTCTCGAGCTCCACCATCTCCATCAACGGCATCAATTGCCGCCTGGGAACAATTTGAGCGAAACTTGGCTGGCATCCGAGGACTCAGCTCCCTCGAGCTGACAATAAATATTTTTGCTTTGCTGACAGGCTGAAAATCAATACATACATACTTTTAGGACAACACTCGCACACACTTTCCCTCAGATACACACACAAAACGTTGGTATACATTTTCATTTTCATTTTCATTTTCGGTGTGCGTGCAATAGCACTGTGAAAAGCCGAAAAACCCACCGGATTGCACCAACTCAACCTCAAACAAGCTATGTATGCATAAATGAAATAAATTTCTCTTACGTCACGCCAGCATGAGATACAGACAATGCAAGCCACAAATCTAATTTTTAAACTTATACATTTCGAGTGGGAATGTTCTGAAATGGCCAAACATCGAATGGAGAGCAAACTAGAAGTAATTTAATGCAAATGTTTAGAAACTACAAAGACTTATGAATAATTTGCTAAATTCCGAAAGGGAGAATGTCAGATACATATGGATTGCATTTATTGGTAGATTGAAATCATTTTGAATCAAATTAACAGCTTTTTCAATTGTGTAAATACAACACACAGTTGGCAAGCAAACTCAATTAGTAATATCAAGGCTATCAGATATATCAATAAATTTAGTCAACATAAAAGTTGGTCTAATTAAATCTCTTACTTAAATCAATACCGATTCCCAAAAACCAACATAAAGTAACTAAAATTTCAGCTAAATTCCAAGAAGTCTGTTCACTTTAAGGACTCCTACATCTTGGTCATTGAAAAAGAAACCATTTGGGGTGTAGAAAATCTCACCTAAGAACTGTCCCAACTGTCAGTCTGCGGTCGGCTGCCATTTCCTTCCTCCCGACATTTAGCCCCGAAAATACCCAACTCAATTTTCAATCCGATACGACAAAACTGTAAAAAAAGAGAAAATGAAAAAGAAAAAGGAAAGTGGGAAGCTAGAGGTTCCTGGACTGGAGCCGAACAAAAGGCAAAAGTAATTTCGGCAACACTAAATCTGTGGCATATTACACGGGACACAGGCCAAAGCTGCCAAGAGAAATCTGATCCACTTAGTTGCCAAGAGAAAGCAATAAATTCTTATGAAAACTGTTGAGGAGCGGCGACACGTCCCTGTGCAAAATGAATTGAACTTTTGGTCAACGTGGAAATTGCACTAATATTTGGGGCCTACAAGCAGACCCAGGGACTGGACAGATGAGCACCCCTCCCAGTTTGGTCAAGAGCAAACAAGTTCCTGTGCCTTTTTCGATATTTATGAGTGGGATGCGGGTAAACTTTGCAGGGGGGGAAACAAGAGGAGACCGAAATCAAATAAGCTCGTTCAATGGGCTCTGAATGAAAATAAAGTGCAAAGATGTCGGTGTTGCGTGTATGTATGTATGAGAAGTCCCGCAAGGACACTTGGCCAGCACTAAACTCATAAATTTCAGCAAAAATTTTTGCCGGTTTCTGAAAAGCTTTAAGCCAGAAACACATACTTCGAGGCTTGACAGATATACACAGAAAAAAGGAAATAACTAAAAGTATAAATGAGTTTATTCAGATACATGAATAGTCCACAAAATTGTCAGTTTATTAAATTAAACCGAAAATACAATTGTTGAAGACTATTAATAATCCAAAAGTTATGATATACACCTTAAATAACTTAAGTAGCACTTCATAGAACTTTTACGGTAATAATTGCATTTTTATCCAGTGATAAAACGCTTCCGTTCTCGTGAAAACAATTGGCCAACCATTTATACTGCAAGGAGCTGAGTAGGAGGTTATTCCGGCTAAATAAACGGCATGTATTGACGTCGCGTCCCTTTGTGACCATCAGTGGTCCACCCGAATCGCCTTCACAGGTACCCTTATCATCCAAGCCGCCAGCACATATTTGGGTTGAATTTTCGAATCCGCGGTAGGCATATTTCTTGGGGCACACATTAAGACTGCGTTCCTTGAGCATTGCGTGCAACAATAGCGTACTACTAGTACTGCTTTGGTCAGTTGTGCCCCAGCCTGCTACCGATAAACTGTGGGTTTAAGGGGATTGTGTAGTTTGGTAGGCAAATCGGTTGGATCTGGTTCGTATACCTGATGGAGTGGGAAATATTGATAATACAGGATTAAGCTACGTATTTAATTCATCACTTACCGCACTAAGATTTTGAGTCGCACCAGTGCGATATCGTTTTGGAAAGTAAACTCATTGTAGTTTGGATGCGCAAGAGCGTCCTCCACTTCGCTTTCCAAATAAGGGGGAGCGCATTGCCGTTGATGGCAATCTGGATTTTGGGAGGTGTCATGCTCGCCCAGACGGATTGTTTTGAGAACTAAGTTCCGCATTTTCTTCACTGGGAGCACACAGTGAGCTGCGGTCACTACGTAGCGATTGTTGATCAAGGAACCAGCACAACGGGGTTCCGAGGTCAAATGTGGAGCCGATTGGTTCACGTACAGAAGCATAGCCATCCAAGGGTATTCGTTAGGATGAGCAATCCTGCCACCCTTTATTCGGTTAATGGGTGGACCTTGACCACAGTCTAAGCCTGTGGGCAGAATGTTTCCAGGATGCGGGCAGCAGATGTACATGTTCCCTATACTCCCTTTAAAACCTTTGCCGCATTGTCTGTTTTTCAAAATGTCCATCCTTATACCCCTTGGTTTAATATAAATACTATCAAACAAATGCGGGCACCGATACAACTTAATGCATATCTCATCCTGTTGACAAGGATATGCCAAATGCACCAGCACGGGAAGCAGGACCAGAAGGATAATATCCACCAGCCGTTCCAAGAACATTTTTGATTCCAATTTCAAATGCGACTGACGGAACAGAGCATTCAATGCTAACACTACAACTTCTATATTTCATCGAGTCAATGAATAAAAACAGGAAATACGTCTTTACGTACAAAAGAGAATGATATCATAAACTTGAATTCCCATTACTCATTGAGTAAGATTTAGTAATAATATTAAAAATTTTCTTTTGGTTAGGCGCTGAAAAACATGTTTTTTTAATACCTACGGGTATTCCAAAAATTGATAAAATCAGAACAAAAATCTTTCCCGGCAGGAGGTGGCACTAGTAATATTTATAAAACATTTTTTAAAATTGGATTACCCAGTAAAGTGTACCTCATAGTCGCGACCTTTAACAAAGGGTTTCTTCCATTTTATTTTAAAAATATTGCATCATCGGATGAAAATCCAATGTTTTAATAACTTATGAAATAATTGTATTTCTTAACTTTCTGAAAACAATTTCGTAATTCTCGCAATTATTTATCAATATAATTTGTCAAAGTAAGCAAATATTTTATAGCTATATACAGGATGTCAAGAAACTGTTTACACAAATAAAATGTATCTACATTATTTTACTTTACTTTCAACTCCACATGTAATCAGTGGAGGTGGCCGTATACTTAAGGTTGACGTACGAAGGGATCGCATCTTCATGAGAAAGTTGTACCAAAGGTACATGGAATAATAACGCAAACCCCTAATTAGGACCTTAAGGAAGAGAGCTGTACCCTTGCATTATGGTGAAGCATTTCTAACGGTAAATAAACGATTTTCTCGAGAAGAGCAAGACAGAATTAAAAAACACGAGGATGTAAAAGGTTTCTTGACAGTGGAAAACTTGTGTTAACTTAGTTTTTATTTTGTATTTCCTCCCATTGCAATATCTGTTTATGTATTTGCACTTATTAATGTGTTTTACACATTTCTTTAAAAATTTTACATTGAACAGGGTTGATTTTGAATGCAAAGTAAAATAATCTAGTTAAATTCCTTTCCTTTTGTATTTTGCTTATACGTTTTATTTCAATTTTTTGTATATTTGTCTAGCATTTTACACTGTAAGGCCAATTTTGGATAAAACAGTATTTACGAGATAGTTTGTTATACCCTCCACTAAGGCCTTTGAAGAACTCTTGAGCAAGTTCTGGGCATCTCGCTTGACATTATCAGGAACGCTTCCAGCAGCCGTCTTCAAGGTGTCCCAAACTCCTCCTTGAGCTGGCACACCATCTACGACCATTGTCTTCCGTTTGAAATCTTGGACTTGTGTATTTAACTGGGCCTCTCTTGCGTTATGCGATCCACTCTGTCCCTTGTATTTATTGAAAATACCAATGGCTTCATAGGCAAGCCGCACCTGGGTATCGACATCAGTGGTTTGACGACTCATAACCTGGAGTTGCTGAATCCGGTTGCGATCTGCATCAATCATTCCGGCTTTTCCTTTGCCCGCAAGGCACAACATCAGGGCCAGAACAAAACTGAAATTTAAACTTACTAAATACTTTTTGGCTTGAGTGAATCTCTTGGGGTTAGGGCTTACCTTAAGCGGATGGCAAGATACATTTTAACTTTTCTTACTCGACAGTTTATGATGAAGTAATGCTGGTTGCATGAAAGACCTCTCTTTTATAGGCTGCTCTGAAAAGACTGGACTTCTGTGGAATATACTTTTACTGTAATTCTGGGAACTTCACGGAGACTGATAAGGCTTTCTTTCTTTCTTATCTTTCAGTTTCCAAGGAATTTATAATTCCCAAGTCGCAAGATTTTGCATTTAATCATTTGTTCTCATCTTTACATTTCCGAGTAAAAAGATTTCTTATTGAGTTTGAACTTTGTTTATCTTTATTTTGAAATGGGAATAAACCTATTATCGATATCTATGATTAACTAAATCAGTTCTACTTTTAAAATGCAATATGTTATACATAATTTATCGATTGAGCGATTTAATTTTGAATACTTAATAGTATGTTTAATTTAAGTACTATATCTATCTATTATATATTCTTTAGAGGGGCCTTCGCAGGCGGTAATTGAAATTCAGTGTCTGTGTCACGACACAAAACTTAAACAAAACAGGAGCCCACCGAGGCTGGCAAAAAGTCAGCGGCAAGCCGTGTTGGCAGCCTATGGAAAGGACATTAAATTAAGTCTCCTGCCAGGAAGATCAAAGTTTTCCAACCGCACTGTTGCGCTACCCCAAATTTACTTTGCCTATATACAAAATACATGCACGAGTATGTGTGTTACACGTGCTTAAGGAGCCTTTTGTTGGTGCAATAAAATGGTGAAAGGCAAAGCCAAAACAGTAAGTCGACATGCAAAAAGGATACACGTTGTAAAAAGCGCATAAACTTTGCCGAAAGTGACAAACAAAGAGGCCAGCCAACTCGCTAACCAACAAAGACCCACCTACTTTCATATACACTGAAAAATAGTGGGGGCAAATGGCAGTGTGTAGAGCCAAACAAAAGGTAGGCGAAATTGAAGCCGACTTGATGGCCTGTAAATGGCAAACTTTTCTTTTCGGTTTTCCGGCCTCCACACATTGCTTTTTTTTTGCCTTCCCTTCAAACGTACAGGTGCTAAAACTTTATCAGCATATGCGTGTGGCAAGGGAAAGCCACTCGAAAAGAGCGAAAAAGATAGGACTTCAGAATTTGAGGCAAGGAAGCGTGCTAAAGTATCTATCCATTGTAGTCCCAACGTTGTGCCTTATCTTTGCATTTGAATTAGACTTGTGCTCATAAACAAACGAAATTGAATTTTCTCAGAACAGTTTTGTTCGGGTGGGGAAAACTGTTTTTTGGTTCTTATGCTTGGGATGAGTTTGGAAAAAGTCTCCTTCCAAATTTTATCCTTACATATATTTAACGTAATGGGAATAGGCCTTCCTGCAAAAGGAACTCCCTAAAGAGTCTTTGATAAATAGCGGAATATCTAACCATAGATTTCTTAATTTTAAATATTTAAAAACACAAGAAGTTCAGCTAAGTTCACTTTTCAATTAAAGTAAATACTAAGTCAAGCCATTCCGACCCAACTTGATGGCTTTCAGCCAGCAACTAAAAAGTGTCGTTATTTCTTTCAATTTCTTTGCAACACAGAAAGTTGCCAGTAGTTTTCTAGCCAAGTCTTTAAAGCCAGCCATGCCAAAAGTTTAGCCGACGTTCTTGGCTTGCTGGCAGGATGGTGGGGCATGTTTTTCGGTCATGTAAATAGTTGAGGGTCATGCCAAGAAGCCCTAGCCGCGCCCAGCATCAGGATGAGTGTCCTTTTTTGGCAGTAGCAATGGAGTACCAGCGTGTGCCGCAGGATATTCCATATTCAGCTCAGATCGACTCGGTTCAGTTCGGTTCGACTTGTAAATATATATATTTCTTATTTTTGTGGTAGGGGTAAACACTTGACAAGGCAAAAATGCTGATTTTATTTTGTGTGCCACATTGTCACATGATAATCAGGACGATATAGGCGATAATGTAAGAGCCTACACACGACATCAGGATAGAACCGAGAGCTCTTTTAAGCATTGGCTTAGCCAGAGAAAGGAAAAAAGGACACCCTGTGCAACAGGACAGCTTTTTTCGCTGCCCCAGGCTAAATTTCACACAAACATAATTGGAACTACAGTCTGCTGGTGTTAAGGTCTCAGCTAAGCCTTTCCCAACGAAAAAATTAATGCGATGCTGAGGGTTAAAGTTGCTAGGCTTACTAGATTACTTTTTACTTTTGCATTGTGCTGAGAACTCCATTTGCATGTTGTGCCTTTAAATTCTTGGAAAGAATAAGAACAATAGAGAGTTTCCTTAAACTTGAATTTTATCAGCCAGTTCTAAGAAATAATAATAGGATACCTAATATATAAGTACAATCTTTTGTTTCATAGCAAGGAAAACCATTAAAGGCTCGAAGATTTTAATGATTAACAAAATTACGATTACGGAAGCTAGTTTGTATTTGAGGATAGGTTGTCACTGCAGTTGACACTTCGATAAGCAGGTGTTAGCTCCAATGTGTTTAGCCGTTGTTATTATTCAATTTAATTTTGTGTTGCAAGCTCCACATCCTTTGAGTGTTTGTGTTGGTCTGTGTATGTTAGTTCTTCGGCGAGCATTTAATTAAACAAATTGCCAGCAGGAGTAGCAGCATGAGCTGGAGCTGGAGCAGCGTTGACAGGTTCAGTAAACAGGAAGGGGAGATATAGGGCGGAGAAAGGCTCAACTTTACGACACATTCAGAAGTCAAATGCCACAGCTGATGGCGTTGATGAGGCGAGCACACACTAGTGTGTCCACCCACACGGATGTCCTGTGGCAGCCGGGGCAACCCCACACTCCGTTGAAGGACTCTGTCAGAGACGTTTTCGACACTTAGCATGGTAATTACTTTCCACATGCCTTGTTTCGGCCAGACAATCAAAAACTTTCGCCAGGCAAAAACGAGTTTTTCTACAACACCGAAAAAAGCATTTTACACAAAAATAATAATTGCGAAAACTTTCCCAAAAACAAAAAACATTACCCGGCCGTCCAGTTTGGCCCGAGTGTTGATTGAATTCAACACAAACTTTGTTGGCCAGATTGAATGAGTAAAGTTGCCGGGAATCCTTTCTTTTTAAATTTCGATGTGCCCACTTTAAGCTGACATTCGAGAACTATATACCCGAACCAGATAAACATTTGAACTCAAAAGTTTAGTATTTAAAATTCTTTAATTGCAAACGCAACTTTTTATTTATACAAAATTAGGATTTTAGTTCTCGTTTCAATCCTCTCCTTTCTTGGAACTAAAAAGGCCTATAAGGTTCTCAATGAGACTATCAAAGAATCCTTTTGCCACGCTTTCGGCAGCTGAGCTTAGGACCTTTCCAGCAAACTTAGACTTCCGGCCGCCCTGAGCAGAAATTCCATCGACTTTAATTTCATCCGTGTTCTGATCGATCAACTGGCTGATTCGTTGCCTTTCTTCAGGAGACAAACTGGGAGAAAGTCGATTGTAAATATCAATGAGTTCCTGGATGCTGTTGATTTTGGCATTGTCATCCTTGGCGTTTTCCACAATTTCAATAATTCTACGGCTATCGGCTTCACGTTGTTCATTAGTATAACCCAAGCACAAAGGACTGATCAGGAGTAGCGCAAGGCAGCTACATAATTTGTAAACAAATTAGAATATTGTATATATTTAATAAGGATAATACTTACATTACAGCTGGAGTGAAATTCATTTTTAATGTTTTTAAAACGCTGAAGAAAACCGAACTGTATTTCATGCAGCCAAGAAGATGAATTTATACCCGCAAATCCTCTGCTGATAACAAAAGATCATTGGGTTGAGATTGGATTTTGCATATATGCTGTTACTCTGTCATTAAGAAATTCCGAGAATTTGTATTTATCAATTAATTCAATGAACTTGCTTTGAAATACAAAACTGATAAGCGAGGGAATGATTTCTTAATGATTGTTCATAGACTGTGGTTATAAATCGTTTCCTAATTGATAAGCATAACACTGAAAGCTGCAAAATACGAAAACTTGATTTGGCTTTTCTTTTCATTTCCAAATCACCAAAACTGATGCAGATAGAATTTACATCAAAAGAGATGAATATGCAATTTATGGTAATGAAGGCTTGCATACAAAATAAGATCTTTTGTGCATTTTGTTAAAGGGCTTATATGAGTGAGATGAAAAAATACATCTAAAATCGTTAGTATAATGGTAAAAGCTTTGTTTATTAATTCCAATTAGGCATTAGCTCACAAATTATATTCATGTATAAAAATTATTTGATTTTTTACATGGATTTAAAAGTTTTAAAAATTACTTCATTTTAAAAATACATATTGTTTGAAAAGAAATCGTAAAAAAGAGCCACATAGTATTTTTGTTTTTTGTTATGCAGATGGCGGTTAACCAGTGAATAAATTGGCAAGGTTCGCACCAAGCTCTTCAAAGAATCCAGTGGCCAGGCCCTGCACAACTGGAGTCAGGACCTTCCCAGCAAACTTGGTCTTCCGACCGCCCTGAGCAGGAACTCCATCGACTAGAATTGCATCCGTGTGCTCATTGACAAACTTGTCGATTCTGTCGCGATCTTCAGGAGTCAGACTGGGATAGAGACGTCTGTAAATGTCAAGGAGTTCCTGGGTGTTGTTGATTTTGGCATTGTCGTCCTGGGAGGTTCGGATGATTTCAGCAACTCGAAGGCTATCGGCTTGACGTTCTTCGTCAGAATAACCCAGGCACAAAGGACTGATCAGGAGCAGTGCAAAGCACCTAGTAAAAGTGCAATATTTTGGATTTAAGTAATTAATTTATAATGCAAAAGATTAATTCAGCGATACTTACACCAGAGATAATAGGGAGTTCATTTTGTTAGGATGTAACTGGATTCTAGAGGAAACCGAACTGATACTCCTGCAGTCCACAAACCCAGTATTTATAGCCCTGTGAAGGTGAATCTCAATGATTGCAAAATTACAAGATCAGCAATTTAGTTCTCAAAACTGATTAGAATTCCCCTTTTGCATATTTTTATTGTAAATTTGCCAGACAAGGTTCGGTTGAATTTTATTTGTCAAAGTGGCTTATCAAATTATTTATAATGCTGAATCTATTTGACCACATAAAGCTGACACTTCTAATGAATTTCCCTTTCAATAAAAAATGATGAGCCAATGTTCAGAGTACTGAATTTGGTTTGTTATTGGTGAACGTTGATGCACTGATTATCTTAAATAATCAGTAATGTACTACAAAAATTCATTTAACCTTAAAAATTTTGTTTATTTTTCTACTTTATACAAACCTGTTATAGCAAATCATCTGAAAAATGTAAAATTACTTAGTAAATTCCTAATTCAACCACCACAATCATCTTTAAGTAGTCTACGTACATGTCCTGATGATGAATAATAATCTTAATGTTGAATACAACAGAGTCAACTCAAACCTTTCTGCAGTCCATAAAATAGTATTCACGTGGGTAGGGATCAAAATATCTTTGATATTATGCATATCTAAATAAAATGATTAACATTAAAACATTCATAAAAAATGGTGTGAGTTAATGAAAAACTTAATTTGGTTCAAAAAAAGTATCAAAAGTTACTTAGCAATCTGCAGGAATCGCCTTTCATTGCGATACATCTCAGAAAAGCTTCCCGACCGGGATCAAAAGAAACTGCTGCGCATTCAGGATGGATATCTCCTCTCAGTTGATCGACAAAATCAATGAGATTTAATTGATATAAAGAGAAAGCCGCCAAGAATTAAATCCGGAGTGCTTCGAGATGAAAGCTTAAAGATCTTTGAAATTTAAATGAAGTTGCCTGGAAAAGTAGTTTTCATCGCCGAGTATGTCTGAGTTTCCCGCTTAAGTAGTCTGCCCAAATTTTGATAAAGTCGAAAGGTTGTGTATCCGTTGAGTATTGAATCTCAACTCTGGAAAGCATAAATATGTATATTCATATATATTATCAAAAAAATAATATTATAAATAGCTTAAAGCAGCAAGAATTGCGATGCAAATCGATTTTTGATACTAGCTTGCTTCACCAATAAATGTGATGGGGCAGACGTTATGTAGAAGAATATTTTTACTTTTTGCAATTACAAATTAACAGTTTTAAAGATATATATTTCAAATTTGGCAAAAATATAAAAATTTAAAAAAATGTTTGCGGTATTTTTTTGTCCATGGCTGTGGAGATTAGCCAGTGAATATTCTGGCAAGACCGGCACCAAGCTCTTCAAAGAATCCAGTGGCCACTCCCTTTATAGCTGGAGACAGGACCTTCCCAATAAACTTAGTCTTCCGACCGCCCTGAGCAGGAACTCCATCGACTAGAATGGCATCCGTGTGCTCATTGACAAACTTGTCGATGCTTTCGCGATCTTCAGGAGTCAGACTGGGATAGAGACGTCTGTAAATGTCAAGGAGTTCCTGGGTGTTGTTGATCTTGGCATCGTCGTCCTGGGAGGTTCGGATGATTTCAGCAACTCGAAGGCTATCGGCTTTACGTTCTTCGTCAGAATAACCCAGGCACAAAGGACTGGCTAGGAGCAGTGCAAAGCACCTATTAAAAACAAAAAATATAACGTAATTATTACAAATTAGTTTTTAGTAACACTTACATCAGACCTAATGAGGAATTCATTCTGTAACAAGTTATTGCAGCGCTGAAGAAAATCCAACTGATGCTCCTGCAGTTCAGAAGACCAGAATTTATAGCACAGTGAAAGTGAATCCCACTGATTAAAAAATTACAAGTTCAGCAATTCAGTTCGTAGAATGGATTAGAACTACATTTATTTTTGCATATATGTATTGTAATTTTGCCCTACAAGCTTTTCTGTGAATTTTACTGTCGAAGCGGGTTATCAAATTTAGCTAAAGCAAAAGCTTTAAAAAAAGCTATAAGCAATATAAGTTCTAATGAATTTATATTAAAATTTCAATTTCAATGAAAACTGATAAGCAAATGTCCAGATTAACAAATTTTCCACGAATTTCTTATTATTATTACTGAACGTTGTTAGTAAAGTATAGAATTATGAAAACCTATTTTTGAAAGTTATATAAAATACATTGTGATGGCAATTCCTAAAGATTATGATGTCAGAGCTCATTATTGATCATTATTGATAAATTAATAAATTAATAGATATTGACAAAAATTATTATGCAAGTTGATATAAAAAATAAGCCCTAATATTATGGACCCCACCTTTTTTTGCGTGTCCAGATGAACCATCATTACCTGCGCTGGCATCATAAGAGTATACCTACCTAATTCCAACTACCTCTCACCTAACTTGCAGGCTTAATTCTAGCTTATATGTGTAATTTGGTTTCAAAATGCAACAAACGTAATAATAAATATGCTTATCAAAAAATCGGATAAACACAAATTTTATTTAAGGCCTTAAAATTTTCGTGCCATTTGAAATTACGCGCGAATTCTCAAAAAATAAATAAATAAAATAACAAATTTTTTTGAATTTTACATAACATTTTGTATTGATCTCAGAAATTGTTAAATTTGGGCAGCAAATGTCCTTTCTTTAACTTCTCTTAAGTTGAATTCGCTGTTTTAGTTATTCTTGTTTCTTATTTTCCTTGGAGGGATGCATTTTTGAAATGGTTTCAATGATACTGTTTTGGGAAAAACAACGCCCTGCTTACAAAACTAGGCGAATATAAGAGATAAGTAAACGAGAGCGGATCGAAAGGTCCGGCAGGGAAAGGTTTGAGTCTTTAAGAATTTTGTTATTGCTGCTCCGAACAGATGATATCACAGTGTTCTTTAGCAACGCTTTCAACAGCTGAGCGCAGGAACCTTCCAGAAATCAAAAAAAGTGATAGGCCGAGGAAAGATGAACGAACTTTGAGAGAATCTTTTAATAATGCGTTGACCCGATTGAAAAAAACATAAATAGAATTAAGATTATTTCATGTGTGTCTTTTTTTTTAGAAAAGCACTGCGACATAGGATGCAACAGAAAGTTATGCTTGTATGAGACTTGCACAGGGTGTGTTCAAAGGTGACTCTTCAAATTTCAAATTTTAAATTTTTAAATTATTAAAATTTTTAAAAAATAGGTGTGTTCAAAAGTAGGTGACTTTTCAATTTCAAATTTTCAATTTTCGATTATCTTTGTTTTACAGAAAAGTCACATGGGGCCAAATCCGGTGAATATGGTGGCTGAGGCATTATTGTGGTGTTGTTTTTGGCCAAAATCCAAATCCTTTGATCCATATTTTCGATAAGCTCGCAAAATAACTTGTAACTTACGCCTCTCAACCAAACAAAAGAGGATGTTCCATTGAAACTTGGTACAGATGTTAGGAAGAGTGTACCAATATAACAAAACAAAAAATGATAATCGAAAAATTTGAAATTCAAATTTGAAGAGTCACCTTACTTTCCACCTCTATAATTTAATTTCAAAATTAAAATGATATTTAATAATTTATTTTAAATTATTTAAATTTCAAATTTAAATGTTCTTATATAACAGCATGCACAGAGGTGATCTCGTATGTTTCTTTTATATACAATGGATTCAGCCAGTGAATAAATTGGCAAGGTTCGCACCAAGCTCTTCAAAGAATCCAGTGGCCAGGCCCTCCACAACTGGAGTCAGGACCTTCCCAACAAACTTGGTCTTCCGACCGCCCTGAGCAGGAACTCCATCGACTAGAATGGCATCCGTGTGCTCATTGACAAACTTGTCGATTCTCTCGCGATCTTCAGGGGTCAAACTGGGATAGAGACGTCTGTAAATGTCAAGGAGTTCCTGGGTGTTGTTGATTTTGGCATTGACGTCCTGGGAGGTTCGGATGATTTCAGCAACTCGAAGGCTATCGGCTTGACGTTCTTCGTCAGAATAACCCAGGCACAAAGGGCTGATCAGGAGCAGTGCAAAGCACCTAGTGAATGTTCAATAATTTGGTATTAAGTAAAGAATTAATAAAACAAAATATTAATTCAGTGATACTTACGTTAGGGATAATGAGGAGTTCATTTTGTTAGGTAGTAAAGGGTTGCTAGAGGAAACCGAACTGATACTCCTGCAGTCCACAAGCCCAGTATTTATAGCCCAGTGAAGGGGAAACTTAAAGATAGTAAAATTACAAGATCAGCAATTTAAATCTCAAAATTGATTAGGATTCCCTTTTTGCATATTTGTATTGTAAATTTGCCAGACAAGGTTCTCGCCAAGGTGTCTTATCAAATTATTTATAATGCTGAATCTATTTGAAAACATAAAGCTGACACTTCTAATGAATTTCCTTTTCAATGAAAAATGATGACCCCAATTTTCAGATTACTGAATTTCGTTTGAAATTCAATGATATTACTGCTGAACGTTGATGCACTATAAACAGGAAAAACAAGTGGCCCAACGATGTTATCTCAAATAATCAGTAATGTGTTACAAAAATTCATTTCACATTAAAAATGTTGTTTTCTTACTTCATGCAATGTTAATTGTTAAAAGACTTAGTAAATAACCAATTTAACCACCACAAGAAACTTTATATAGTCTTCGTACATGTCCTGAGAATGAATAATGAATTTAATGTTGAATACAACAGCCCCAATTCAAACTTTTTTCACATAAATAGGCCATCAATCAGTGCAGTATATTTCAAATATACATATCGTTATACTCGTTACTCATGGAGTAAAAGTGTATATTAGATTCGTTGAAAAGTATGTAACATGTAGAATAAAACGTTTCCGACCCTATAAAGTATATACATATGTATGTTCTCGATCAGTATCAATAGCGAAGTCAATTAAGCCATGTCAGTCTGTTGGTTGAGATTAAGCCAGCGAATTCTTGGACTCTACGCAGCGCAAGTTTATTTTAAATCACACAAATCGCAAAACACTGAAATCGCTGAATCTAGAATGTTTGGATTTAGCATGTATAATCTTGAGATGTCAGAGCAGCTCAAGGTGGTACCAATATCCGTTCATGCCCACTCTTACGCCCCCAACAGCGAAAAACGGTAGCCGAATTCTCTAAAAACACTGATATATCGGTAACTATACGTGATAGAATGTTGTAGTTCATAATGATGCCCCCAATGCGTGTTATTTTTTCCCTTCTGGCCACACCCACTCTAACGCCCAAAAAAAGCGACAAACCAAAAATGAATTCTATTCTGTAAGTGTATTCTAGGGATGCCACTGCATGTCGACGTGATTTTTATCTGAGCATATTTATGAAGAAATGTAAGACCTCACCTGGACAGTGGTGTCACCATCAGTTAGTAGGCATGTCTTTTTGACGAAAGGTGGCGCTTTGTCCATTTCCACTAGCAAAATAAATATTTTCAAATTCTGTAAAACAGTAACGGGCGTTTCTACTAATTTTATTCTTTGTCTAATTTGACCATAAACCGGTATCAATAAAATTCTGATGATGTTCGTTTTTTTGTAAATTTCTTTTAAGGTCTCGCCAACTTAGCATTAACAAAATTAACGAAAATTTAAAAGAAATGAATGAATAAATCAAAAATGAATATATATTATATTAATATCTCCTCTCAGTTGTTCGACAAAATCAATGAGTTGTACTTGACATAAAAGGAATGGCGCCAAAAATTAAAAATCAAATATCATCAGTGCGCCGAAATGTAAATTAAAGAAATTATCCTGCCTGGAAAAGTAGTCTTCATCGAGTATCTCTGAATGACGCACTTATGTACGATGGCAATCGATTTCATTACGACAATCTACACCAATTTTGCAAAAGTGAAAGGTTAGATAGTATTAAGTCTCAACTCTGGAAAGATATATATATATATATATATATATATATATATTTATAATAAATAGCTTAAAATAACAACAATATCCATGTAGATGCATTTCTGATATTATCTTATTTAACCCTCAAAGGTGATTAGCCAGATGCTATTTTGAGTAATATTGAGACTTTATTGAAATAAGAAATTAAACATTTTAAAAATACATATTTCAAATTAGGAAAAAATACAAAAATTTAAAGAAATGATCGTGTTGTTTTCTTCCCCATTGTTTTGGAGATTAGCCAGTAAATATTCTGGCAAGACCGGCACCAAGCTCTTCAAAGAATCCAGTGGCCACTCCCTTTATAGCTGGAGATAGGATCTTTCCCAATAAACTTAGTCTTCCGACCGCCCTGAGCAGGAACTCCATCGACTAGAATTGCATCCGTGTGCTCATTGACAAACTTGTCGATGCTCTCGCGATCTTCAGGAGTCAGACTGGGATAGAGACGTCTGTAAATGTCAAGGAGTTCCTGGGTGTTGTTGATTTTGGCATCGTCGTCCTGGGAGGTTCGGATGATCTCAGCAACTCGAAGGCTATCGGCTTGACGCTCTTCGTCAGAATAACCCAGGCACAAAGGACTGATCAGGAGCAGTGCAAAGCACCTAGTAAAAGTACAATATTTTGGATTTAAGTAATTAATTTATAATGCAAAAGATTAATTCAGCGATACTTACACCAGAGATAATTGGGAGTTCATTTTGTTAGGATGTAACTGGATTCTAGAGGAAACCGAACTGATACTCCTGCAGTTCACAAACCCAGTATTTATAGCCCAATCTTCTCAAAGATTGCAAAATTACAAGATCAGCAATTTAGTTCTCAAAACTGATTAGAATTCCCCTTTTGCATATTTGTATTGTAAATTTGCCAGACAAGGTTCTGTTGAATTTTATTTGTCGAAGTGGCTTATCAAATTATTTATAATGCTGAATCTATTTAATAACATAAAGCTGACACTTCTAATGAATTTCCCTTTCAATAAAAAATGATAATGTTATTGGTGAACGTTGATGCACTGATTATCTTAAATAATCAGTAATGTACTACGAAAATTCATTTAACATTAAAAATTTTGTTTATTTTTCTACTTTATACAAACCTGTTATAGCAAATCATCTGAAAAATGTAAAATTACTTAGTAAATTTTTAATTCAACCACCACAAGCATCATTAAGTAATCTACGTACATGTCCTGATAATGAATAATATTATTAATGTTAAATACAACAGAGTCTATTCAAACCTTTCTGCAGTCCATAAAATAGTATTCTAAATCTAAATAATCTAAATAAAATGCATAACATTAAAACATTCATAAAAAATGGTGTGAGTTAATGGAAAACTTAATTCGATTCAAAAAAAGTATGAGCAATCTGGAGGAATCGCCTTTCCTTGCCGTTCGATATCCACGCAACATTGCGATACATCTCAGAAAAGCTTCCATGCCTGGATCAAAAGAAACTGCTGTGCATGTGATTCATTCACGGCGGATTCCTCCCAGATGATCGACAAAATTAAAGAGTTTTAATTGATATAACGGAAAGACGCTGAGAATTAAAGCTGAATCAAATGTCTTTAGTGCATCGATTTGGGAAATTAGAATGTCTTTGAAGTCAAAAAATTATCTTGATTTTGTTACATGGATTCAAAAGTTTATAATAATAAATTTATTTAAATAATTAATTTTGTTTACATAGAAATAACACAAAAGTGCGGTTAACCAGTGAAGAATTTTGCAATTTTGGCACCAAGCTCTTCAAAGAATCCAGTGGCCAAGGCCTGCCCAGATGGAGCCAAAACCTTCTTAGCAATCTTGGACTTCCGACCGCCCTGAGCAGGAATTCCATCGACTAGAATTTCATCCGTGTGCTTATCGACAAGCTGGTCGATACGTTGCCTTTCTTCAGGAGACAAACTGGGAGAAAGTCGTTTGTAAATATCAAGGAGTTCCTGGATGCTGTTGATTTTGGCATTGTTATCCTTGGCGTTTCGCATAATTTCAGCAACTCTACGGCCATCGGCTTGACGTTGTTCATTAGTATAACCCAAGCACAAAGGACTGATCAGGAGCAGTGCAAGGCAGCTACATAATTTGTAAACAAATTAGAATATTGTATATATTTAATAAGGATAATACTTACATTACAGCTGGAGTGAAATGCATTTTTAGTGTATTTAAAACGCTGGAGAAAACCGAACTGATTTTCATGCAGCCAAGAAGATGAACTTATACCCGCAAATCCTCTGCTGATAAAAAAAGAGCAAAAGAAATTGAGATTAGATTTTGCATTTATGCTGGTACTCTGGCAGTTACCATTTCCGAGTTTTGCCATTAAAAAAGAGATAAGTTAGGAAATATTTAAAAATGATTGTTCATAGACTGTGGTTATAAATCGTTACCCGATTGATAAGCGTTACACTGATAGCTGCAAAATACGATAACTTTATTTGATTTTCTTTTCATTTCCAAAACACCACAGAAATTACATCGAAAGATATGATTATAAAGGCGTTCGCTTTAAATATAAGAAATGTAATATTTTATGCATTGTGTTCAACGGTTTACATGACTGAGATGAAAAAAACAATTTATTTAAAATTAGTATAATTGGTAGGTATGTAGGTATAGTAAATTCGTAAGTATACTAGGTTCGATGGAAAGTATGTAACAGATAGAACAAAGCATTTCCGACCCTATAAAGAATATACATTCTTGATCAGGATCAATAGCGAAGTCGATTGAGCCGTGTCCGTAAAATCTTGAGATGCCAGCGCATCTTATAGTGATGCCATTATCGGGCCACACTCACTCTTACCCATCAAGCTCGAAAGACGGTATTCACATATTGTAGAAAAGCTGATATCTCGGTAGTTATAAGTGATAGAAAAGCGTTTGGGATTAAGATTGTAGCTTTCTATGATGCCCCAAATCCGAATTGTTGGTTTTCCCATCTAGCCACTCTAACGCCCACGGAAAACCAAAATGCGAAAATCTCGGGGAAATATTAAAACTAGAAAGTTGTGTTTAAGAATACGTATTTAAGAGATGCCGCTGCAACTTGCCCCACTCGAACGCCCATACAGTTTATGTCTTCATTTGACCATGTATAACATATTTTTGTCATTATCTATCGATTAACCAAAGATTTGTCAAATCAGAAAATTAGTTCTCTATATATGAAGAAATGTAGGTTATAAGGCCTCACATGGCGTCACCACAAGTAAATCAACATTCTCTCTCTGACAATAGGTGGCGCTTTGTAAATTTCCACTGGCCAGCTGAATATTTTAAAATTGTGTAAAACAGTAACGGATATCTTATAGTCGCGGCACTCGCCTATAGCGTTTATTCTTGTTTTTGATTTCAGTTAACAATAGCAAAATAAATAATTACTTTTTAATCGTTCCAAAACAGTTTGAAATCAGCAATTAACTCGAATTTAATACATGAAACAGTTGATCTTGACACTTCTAAAAGATCAATCAGTTTATCATTAATATAAACAAATATTTATATAAATTAAGATATGCTTGCTTGTAAGGAACTCCAATGTAGCTCTTTTTTTATGGGTTCCAAAGCGACTTTGGATTGGTATTTAAAAATATTTAAAAATTCTTTATTCAAATTTAGAACATATAAGGGTGTGAAAATTAAAAAATTGTATATATCTTCTGTTAAAATGTATGTTCATTTATATTAGAAATCGAAGTTATCACTTATCGATTTGGTCTTTCACGCTATCTGTCATCTGGAAGGATATTTATTTTAGTATTTAAAATCTTATACATAGTATCTTATGGTATCTTATAGTCGGGGTTTAGTGTGCTTAAGAGATGCTTGACTTATGATGCAAAGACTGCCATAAAACCTTCTGAATTCCAAAGACATAAACATAAATTCCAGATAACGCAAGCCTTAAACTCGATTGTTGTTCTTTTTCATGAGCTCTCCAAGATATATAATCAGTTTTAAATCAGCATTTCAAGTGATCAGTCCGTAATGAGCTCTCTCCGGCTGCTTCTGGTCCAAGGACTTCTCCTTCTAATCCCTGCGCAGTTGGGACTGACTTTGGTGAGCGATGAGGAATGGGCCCAGTACAAGGCTCAATACAACAAAAACTACAAATTTAAGGATAGGTACCATCGGGGACTATATGACAAGAGGGTCCAATTAGTAGCCGATCACAACAGGCGCTATTTGCAAGGCTTGGAAGGGTTCGAAATGAGATTGAACCAGTTCTCCGACATAGATCAGAAGGTCTATTACAGTTATCGAATGCCGATCCCACCGCCCACGGAAGAAAAGTCTAGAGCCTTCAGGAAACCATCCAACTACAAGCATTACGACGAAATAACCAAAGGTATTGACTGGCGAAAATACGGATACATCTCGGCAGTTGGGAATCAGGGCATCGGGTGCTTTAGCTGCTGGGCCTTCTCCTCGTCGGGTGCCATTGAGGCGCATCTGGCCAAGAAGAACGGCAAGTTGGTACCACTTTCGCCCAAACACTTGGTCGACTGTGTTCCCCATCCGAACCAAGGATGTAATATGGGATGGGTGAGCGTAGCCTTCAACTACACGAGGGATTATGGCATCGCCACAAAGGCATCCTATCCCTATCAACCCAAAACTGAGCAATGCCATTGGAACCCCAAAAATAGTGCAGGCACTATACGAGGACATGTAACCCTGACTGAAGGTGATGAAAAGGAACTAGCAGAGGTGGTGTACAATATTGGTCCCGTGGCAGTATCTATCGACCATCTTCACGAGGAGTTCGATCTGTACTTCGGTGGCATCCTTAAGATCCCGTCATGTGGTTTAACAAAATACGACCTCACGCACTCAGTTCTCGTCGTGGGCTTTGGAACCCACCCGAAGTGGGGAGACTACTGGCTGATAAAGAACTCCTTTGGAACATCCTGGGGCGAGAGTGGCTACTTCAAATTGGCCCGAAACGCCAACAACACGTGTGGTGTGGCAACCCGACCCCAATATCCTCTTGTCTAAATGAATTGATTTAAAATTAATAAACTTCATTCGATATACGCATTTAAGGGTTGATTTTGTTTGTTATGACTCCGTTTTTATTCCAAAAAATGCCAAATTTTCTTTGTTTTTTACATATGAACAAGAAGAAAGATAGTCGAGGGCCACGACTATAAGATACCCGTTACTGCTTTACACAATTTTAAAATATTTATTTTGCTAGTGACCTTGTATAACACAGTATTTTTATCCCGTTAATCAAAGAGTAAAAGGGTATATTAGAAGGAAGCATTTCCTGATGACGATCATTAGTGAAGTCCGCCCGTTTATCCGTATGAAAGCTGAGATCCCAGGAACTATAAGAGATACAAAGTTGAGATTAAGCATGAAGATTCTTGAGGTCCCTATGCAGCGCAAGTTTTTTCAGCATCCTGCCACGCCAGCTCTAACGCACCTAACACACGGAAAACCAAAATCGCTGAAATGTCAGGAGCTAGATATTTAAAATAAAGTGTGTATAAACTTGAGATGCCAGCGCATCTTATGGTGGTACCATTATCCGGGCACACCCACTCTTACGGCCACCAAGCTCGAAAGACGATTTTCGTATTTTGTAGAAAAGCTGATGTCTCGGTAACTATAAATGATAGATTAAGCATGTAGGTCTTTATGATGCCCCAAACGCGAATTGTTTTTTCCCATCTAGCCACGCTCACCCTAACGCCCACAAAATGTGCTTAAGAATACGTATTTTATACTGCAACTCGACAGGAGTTTTCATCCGGCCACGCCCACAAGCCGGGGAAAAAAATTAAAACTAAATAAAATACAATACATTAAAATATTCATAAAAAATGGTGTGAGTTAATTGGAAACAAATCCTTCCTTCCTGCACATTTCTCTAATTAATTTGATTCAAAAGAAGTACCAAAAGTTCCTGAGCAATCTGCGGGAATCGCCTTTCCTTGCCGTTCGATATCCACGCAACATTGCGTTACATCTCAGAAAAGGGCTTCCAGGCCTGTATCAAAAGAAACTGCTGTGCATGCGATTCATTCAGGACGGCTATCTCCTCCCAGTTGATCGACAAAATTAAAGAGTTTTAATTGATATAACGGAAAGACGCTGAGAATTAAAGCTGCATCAAATATCTTTAGTGCATCGATCTGGAAATTAGAATGTCTTTGAAGTCAAAAAATTATCTTGATTTTGTTACATGGATTCAAAAGTTTATAATAATTAATTTATTTAAATAATTAATTTTGTTTACATAGAAATAACACAAAAGTTCGGTTAACCAGTGAAGAATTTTGCAATTTTGGCACCAAGCTCTTCAAAGAATCCAGTGGCCAAGGCCTGCCCATATGGAGCCAAAACCTTCTTAGCAATCTTGGACTTCCGACCGCCCTGAGCAGGAATTCCATCGACTAGAATTTCATCCGTGTGCTTATCGACAAGCTGGTCGATACGTTGCCTTTCTTCAGGAGACAAACTGGGAGAAAGTCGTTTGTAAATATCAAGGAGTTCCTGGATGCTGTTGATTTTGGCATTGTTATCCTTGGCGTTTCGCATAATTTCAGCAACTCTACGGCCATCGGCTTGACGTTGTTCATTAGTATAACCCAAGCACAAAGGACTGATCAGGAGTAGCGCAAGGCAGCTACATAATTTGTTAACAAATTAGAATATTGTATATATTTAATAACGATAATACTTACATTACAGCTGGAGTGAAATGCATTTTTAGTGTTTTTAAAACGCTGGAGAAAACCGAACTGTATTTCATGCAGCTAAGAAGATGAATTTATACCCGCAAATCCTCTGCTGATAAAAAAAGAGCAAAAGAAGTTGAGATTAGATTTTGCATTTATGCTGGTACTCGTCATTTACCATTTCCGAGTTTTGCCAATAAAAAGTGATAAGTTAGGAAATATTTATAAATGATTGTTCATAGACTGTGGTTATAAATCGTTACCCGATTGATAAGCATTACACTGATAGCTGCAAAATACGATAACTTTATTTGATTTTTCTTTTCCTTTCCAAAACACCCCATAATTTACATCAAAAGATATGAATAAGCAGTTTATGATAATGAAGGCGTTCGCTTTAAATATAGATAATTTGTATAATTAATATGTTACTTTATGCATTTTGTTAAGGAATTTACATGACTGTGCTAAAAAAAAAACAATTTAAAGTCTTTTATGTAATTGGTGCAATGTAATTTTTAACTTCAATAAGACAGTAGATCACAAATTATATTGCTGTGTAAAAATTCTTTATTATTTTACATGGATTAAAAAGTTTATAAAAATTACTTCATTTTATGCCGAGAACTCATTGGCGGTTAACCAGTGAATAAATTGGCAAGGTTCGCACCAAGCTCTTCAAAGAATCCAGTGGCCAGGCCCTCCACAACTGGAGTCAGGACCTTCCCAACAAACTTGGTCTTCCGACCGCCCTGAGCAGGAACTCCATCGACTAGAATGGCATCCGTGTGCTCATTGACAAACTTGTCGATTCTCTCGCGATCTTCAGGAGTCAGACTGGGATAGAGACGTCTGTAAATGTCAAGGAGTTCCTGGGTGTTGTTGATTTTGGCATTGACGTCCTGGGAGGTTCGGATGATTTCAGCAACTCGAAGGCTATCGGCTTGACGTTGTTCGTCAGAATAACCCAGGCACAAAGGACTGATCAGGAGCAGTGCAAAGCACCTAGTAAAAGTACAATATTTTGGATTTAAGTAATTAATTTATAATGCAAAAGATTAATTCAGCGATACTTACACCAGAGATAATAGGGAGTTCATTTTGTTAGGATGTAACTGGATTCTAGAGGAAACAGAACTGATACTCCTACAGTCCACAAACCCAGTATTTATAGCTCTGTGAAGGTGAATCTCAAAGATTGCAAAATTACAAGATCAGCAATGTAGTTCTCAAAACTGATTAGAATTCCCCTTTTGCATATTTGTATTGTAAATTTGCCAGATAAGGTTCTGTTGAATTTTATTTGTCGAAGTGGCTTATCAAATTAATTTATAATGCTGAATCTAATTGACCACATAAAGCTGACACTTCTAATGAATTTCCCTTTCAATAAAAAATGATGAGCCAATATTCAGAGTACTGAATTTTGTTTGAAATTCGATGATGTTATTGATGAACGTTGATGCACTGATTATCTTAAATAATTAGTAATGTACTACGAAAATTCATATAACATTAATAAATTTGTTTTCTTATTTTTTACAAACCTGTTATAGCAAATCATCTGAAAAATTTTAAATTACTTAGTAAATTCCCAATTCAACCACCACAACCACCATTGAATTTACAAAACTTAGGCTCCAATATGCAACATTAACAAAAACGAATGCGCAATATCTCACAAGAAAGCATTGGAAGCGCTTGATCGTACACAGAGAGATATAGGAGGAGTCGCAGGGATTTTTGGTGGAGCACTCATTTTATTGTTTGGTGATTTTCGACAAACACTGCCGGTTATACCATGTTCCTTACTTGCTGATCAACTTAATGCACGCCTCAAACCATCAATTTAATGGCGTCATTCACAAAAATTTACTTTGAAAAACAAATGGTACAATGTACAACTGGGCGAATGCAAATTGATGAATCTATACAATCTATCTCCTTACCAAACTTCTGTAGGACCAGAAAGCTTATACAAATTGCTTCTAAAAGTTTTTAAAATCAATATAGAGCAGAAAGCTCAACATCACTATTCTGAATGGAATACCTGGAAATTACAACATATACATACATACACAATTTTTAATGACCAGGAGGAGAGACGTATTGTCCGAAAAGTCAGGGAAAACCCCAAGGTATCGGATCCTAAAATAGTTGCGGAGATTGAGAACGAAATTGGCAAAATATATTGCCCAGGTACAGTTCGGAGCACTTAGCATAACCACCACTTTAATGGTCGAGTTTGTAGAAATAAGACCTTCGCAAGTGCCAAAAATAAGTTGGCACGCGTCAAATTCGCCAAGGAACTGGAAACTCGTCCGATTTTGGTCTGGAACGACGTTATATTTGTGGACGTATCCAAACGTAATATATTTGGGTCCCATGGGAGGAGTATATTTTTGCGGCGTCCCAATACAGAGCTACATTCAAAAAACAAAAAAGCAGCTACTAAGCACGGCGGTGGTCATGCTATAGTTTGGGCATGTATGACTCTGTCCGGCGTCGGAAATTTGGTTTTTATTTATTTATTTTATTTAACTATTTTGAAAGAAAATTTGGTGCAAAGCTTGGGGTTTTCCTTCACTTTTCGTACAATACGTCTCTCCTCCTGGTCATTAAAAATTGTGTTCGGAGCTTCACGGCCCTTATCTGCCACCCGATTTTCGCAAAAAAGCGTTTGGGTTATGTATGGGTTTGTACTAGAGCTTGAGGTAACCATTTGCTGTGTTTTTCCATCCTTAAAATGTTTAAGGACTAATTCGCTTTGCTCAATAACTATTGACTATTATTCGTGGCGCCATAGTTTGAAAATACTCGTTAATCCGTAATTTTTGGGTGCCCCCAGCCTGGAAAACTTATAAATATGCTTTTGTTAATATATTTTTACTAGTATTAAGAAAAAAAAATGGATTTAAAAGTCCTAGTTTAGAGTTATTAACCGTTAAAGTGCTTGCACGAAATAAGCTTGTGCGTCGGAGTTGCCCTATTTTTTAGTTTTTGTATGAAAAATTCTTTTGTTTTTTAAATTAGTAAAAATTTTTGTTATTATTTTAATAATATGCGACATTCTTAACATTTCTGCGTTTATCAAATTAAAAATTGGATTTTTTCTTGCACGAAATAAGCTTGGATCCACTTTATGTAAATTCATCTATACTGTGATGAAGCAGGACGAAGTTAAATTCTTAAATTCGCTCAATTTGCCAGGCCTTCCACCGCAAGTTCGCATCATTCTCCTTCGAAATATAAATCCACATTGACTTTGCAATGGAGCCAGGCTTTTAGTTAAGAAACTGATGAACAATAAACTCATCGACACAAAAATTTTGACCGGAAAATTTCAAGATGAAGACGTAATGTTGCCATTTCGTATTCCGACGGATATGCCATTCGAATTCAAACGTTTGCAGTTACCGGGGCGACTTGCCTTGTCAATGACGATCAAAAAAGCACATAGTGCGAAAATCTGATTTGAAAGCTGAAATCTGTATCTAAAAGCTGATTTATTCGTTTACGCACCTGATGGAAATCAAGAAACATTGTATATCCCGAAAATTATTTTATTTATTTTATTTTGCCCTCGCATGGTAAATAAGCCCTAGAAGACTATGTTACGCTTGAGAAGCGGATCGGAGAAGCGGAGTTTTCATCGCCGAGTTTGTCTGAGTTTCCCGCTTAAGTAGTCTGTCCAAATTTTGCGAAAGTCGAAAGGTTGTGTATCTGTTGAGTATTGAATCTCAACTCTGGAAAGCATAAATATGTATATTCATATATATTATCAAAAATATAATATTATAAATCGCTTAAAGCAGCAAGAATTGCGATGCAAATGGATTTTTGATGCTAGCTTGCTTCACGAAAAAATGTGATGGGGCAGACGTTATGTAGAAAAATATTTTTACTTTTTGCAATTACAAATTAATAGTTTTAAAGATATATATTTCAAATTAAGCAAAAATATAAAAATATTAAAAAATGTTTGCGGTATTTTTTTGTCCATGGCTGTGGAGATTAGCCAGTGAATATTCTGGCAAGACCGGCACCAAGCTCTTCAAAGAATCCAGTGGCCACTCCCTTTATAGCTGGAGACAGGACCTTCCCAACAAACTTGGTCTTCCGACCGCCCTGAGCAGGAACTCCATCGACTAGAATTGCATCCGTGTGCTCATTGACAAACTTGTCGATGCTCTCGCGATCTTCAGGAGTCAGACTGGGATAGAGACGTCTGTAAATGTCAAGGAGTTCCTGGGTGTTGTTGATCTTGGCATCGTCGTCCTGGGAGGTTCGGATGATTTCAGCAACTCGAAGGCTATCGGCTTGACGTTGTTCGTCAGAATAACCCAGGCACAAAGGACTGATCAGGACCAGTGCAAAGCACCTAGTGAATGTTCAATAATTTGGAATTAAGTAAAGAATTAATAAAGCAAAATATTAATTCAGTTATACTTACATAAGGGATAATGAGGAGTTCATTTTGTTTGGAAGTAACGGGTTGCTAGAGGAAACCGAACTGATACTCCTGCAGTCCAGAAGCCGTGTATTTATAGGTCACTGGAAGTGATTCTCACAGTGCGCTTAATTAACAAATCAGCAATTAAGTTTGCAAATTTCATTAGAATTCGCATTTCGCTTATTTGATTTGTAATTGCGGGGAAAGGTACTCTGGCCGAAGTGGCTTATCAAATAATCTTTAGGGCTGAACTTATTTTAACACGAAAAACGTAGATTGACTTTGAAAAGCATTCGGGGAATCCCTCGACACTATGATTTCTGATGAATGTTGATAACAAATGTTTTCACAAAAAATGATAAGAAAATTTTTAGATTGACAAGTATTCGTTGCCAATAGTGTTTTTCTAAGTTGATAGCTTAATTTTAAAGCAAGGAGTAAAGTGCTGTGGACTATCCTCACATGGATAACGTTAATAAACTGAATGAGGATTTCGACTATTTATTTTAAGTACCGCCAAAGCTAATTGAAACATTTAAACTCAAACAACAGAATATGCTTGGGATATGGTCGACACTTCCGCCGGATCTGGTGGCAATTGCACTGATAATACATTTTTAATAGACTCTCAACCGTTGTCGGCACTTGTGAGCTGGAATTACGCAATCAGGTGGCAGGAGGGCAAGGACACGCAGCCAGATGCTTTGTACAGGTATCTGGATGTAGCTAGATGTAGCTGTTAGCACGTTTAAAAATTTCCACCGACTGCCGTTATGATGGTGGGTGTGTTTTTTTCTTTTGGGGAAGGATGAGGGTTGCAAACGGGTTAAATCCCTGGCCCACTTGAAAGGGATTGCGGGTGTACGGCGAGTGCTAATTGCCTAAATCTATCCCACATGGCCCACACAAGCTGCCAATTTGTAGGCCGACTCTTTAATTAGCTGGCTAACAGCCTGTCGACTAATTAATGAAAGCGGCAACAGTGGCAACCGGTTCAGGTTAGCATTAGCTGGGTGTTCGTTCAAGTTCAGTCATTGTCAACAGTATTTGCATAATGTGGCCACATTTGGCGGAAAGGAAGAAGCATTGCATGTACTTAGGTGTCTGCTACAAGGATCAAGGGTCGACGCAGTGCAGTTCTTTGCATTTTTAATCAATACCCCTCCTATGAATCAAGCAAAAGCGCGTGTCATGAATAAATTAAAACGATTTCGGGCTACATTACTTTCCCAAGATTTATTACAAAGCGAAGCCCTTCGCCCTCCAACATTTCAAGAGCTCCCGACTCTGCTGATGATGATGATGATGATTATGCCTCGCCTTCCTTCCTTCGTTTTTTTGGAAGTCTTCGATTTTCCGATTTTCGGCTGCCGCCAAAGATTGTTGCATATCAAATGGCGCCTAAGTGCTGGGCGTGCGGCACCAAACAAATCAAATCAGAATCGAAGCGCGGTGCTTTTCGGTTTTTTACGGCCCCTACTCCATTTATTTAAATTCAATTTCATATTAGCGGCACTCACTTTCGCCTTTATTACCAATGGAATGGCTTACAAAGTGGATTTGGTGGCGCCTATAAAAGAAGGCCAAAGGAAAAAAAAAACAGTATAAGCCATCGAACTAAGGATTTCAGGGCTGGTCCCGAGGGCTTCATCCATTCATTCAGCGATGGCATCCAAGCACAGCTGACATAGAATTAAATAGCGTACATACAAATTTGTTGCGTATGCCAGTGCCACACCCATATAGAACTCGTCCTTGCTGGCAGACATGTGATTGCCTGTCGAATACTCTAAAAACACTAATAAAGTGTCCTTGGTGAGATACAAAAAAAAATTGTAAAGTGCAGGAGGAATGAAAGAAGCTCTCACTAAAAAGCTGTTTGAGTGGCTTTTGTGCGCATTTTAATGGGCAATAGTATCCTTAAAGCATCCATTTTTATTAAGTTTGAAAATTAAAATTCTAGTTAAAATTAATTGCTTGGTAAATGGAATTTTCAGGCAGCGAGTAAATTTTTAATCATTATTTTTCAAAGGTTATTTGCTATGTTATATCTAATTAAAAACTAGTTTTCCTTTTTTCACTATTAACGTAATTAAAAATTTATAAACACACAAAGAGCCTTCCTTTCTTAGTAAAAACTACATTTCTTTTTTTATAAAAAAACCACAAAGTAAAAATAAGTTTATTATCGTTTATCTAAGAGGGAAAACTGGGTGAGCGGTAAAGCTGGAACAATAACAAATAATAGGAAAAGCCCACAAAAAATGGAATGTGAAGCTAAATTCTTTTGTGTGAAATGTGGAAAATGGTAAACGAAACTACATATCAGAAAGTAAAGCCTGGCATTTACATTCTTGTAAGTAAGCTACACATGGAAAATGCATTGCATATGCTTGACCAACGGCAACAGTTTTCCACTGCCATATTTTCATTTTTTGGTATTTCGCTTTCATCTCTCGTTGCTTGCGACTCCCTTAAAATTGAACGGAAAGAGGATGACTAACTGCCCGAAAATGTATTTACATTCATGCACAATGTGAAAATATTTTCGAGGTTCTCTTGACCCTGGAATGCCATGGCTCCGGGCATAACCTTCACATGTGTATATATCTTACTTTGCATTATTAAAATTATTTGGCCTAAGAGTCAGAGACATGACAAGCAAGCCTTGTCAGCATTTCCATACGCATTGGGATAATAAAACCAGCCCAAAGGGCAAATTGATGGAGGCCAGACGACTAACAGACAGTCAGTCAGCCAAGGACCAAAACCAAAGTCCAGAAGTCAAATGCCTTTACTTGACTTTATCCATCTCGGTTAGTGTCTGCCAGAAAACCAAATCAAAGTGCAATCTCATGCTTAAGAGAGCTTCTGGTACAGAGAAGTCACGCACACAAAGGCTGACAAAAGCAGAAACACAGTTGTTGCTCCATAACTTAACTTTTTGATTAAATATATTATTAAATTTTTCCCTAAAATTGAATACCTTAAAACAGAAACAATAATATAAATCATGTTTTGGAAATAAAATCTATGTCATTTATAAAATTTTATAAAGTGAAAAGTAAAGTTGTAAAAAAATATTTATGTTATACCTAGAGTATCTTATCAGGCTGTTCATTTTAACGAAGTAAGCCTATACTTTCCACCCACTTACCTGGTGCTAATAATATGCTGCATACTTTTGGGAGCACCTGCTTGAAAAGTGCTTTCGCCATTTAATTTGAAATAATTACCGCTGAAAGCTAAGAGCCAACTATGTCCGCGTCCTGTATATGTGTGTATGTACGTGTGCAATTTATAGGTGTGCGTACGTGGGAAAATTTGTTGGCCATGTGCGCGTTATGTTGAAATTAATGAGCCAGACCATTGCTCTACTTCATTGCCACAACCAAGGAATCACAAAAAGAGCTAGGGGAGAGTAAGATGGCTGCTAGAACAGAGTGAGCGGGGAGACAGATGGTGATGAAGTCGCACAGACAAAAGCGGAAACAAGCACAACCAGCAGCTTCCGGCCAATGTAAATAAGGCACTAACCGAAAACCCACTGGCAAAGATATGCATGATTACACACACAGGCACCGAGACACAGACACAAATGCAGATACATTGAAAGAGAAAGAGAGCTCCACAAACACACCCTACACAAATGAGCACACTGAAAAAAATATTAAAATCGTTTTTAAATATACCTGCATTTGAGAGTAAAATTCACTAAGCTCTTAAAGCTCTTTTCAGAGGAATAAAAACGATCTCCATTTTGCTCTTAAAATATTTTCCTCTTAAATTTAGTGAATGTATTTCCATGATTTTTCTATCAGTGCAACTGAAGCTGGCGCATCTGACTGAACCAACTCATTTTGCCAGGCAACAGAGCTTGATGATATTTTGCGCGACTCCCAACGATTTTACCGCAACGACATTCTGTATTTATGGCCAAATACAAACACACACACATGCATTATATATGCATGTGTTGGTGATTGTGGGTATATTAAGCGGCCTAGCTGTTGTTGTCTGTTATTAATGGCCCTTTGCCTTTGTTTGTTAAATTGTTAATACTCTCACATTTACGCGCCTCCAATTCAAGTCGCCATTCGCATGCATTTCCCCCATCACAGCTGCTTTTGCATTATCCTTGCAGTTTAAGCTCAACGCGGTCAACGGCATAATGAGCTCTCTGTTTTATTTATGCCCTTTATTCGCCGCTGTTCCGCTGGCTGCTTCCTTTGTGCCGTTTAATCCTTTTCCTCTTCGGCATGTTAAAGGACCTTTCGAGGGGAGTGCGGTCCTTTAACTTAAGGTTGGGGTTTCAGCTTTTCGACACAGCCAGCCAACCGCCAAACCATGCGAAAATTCTCAATGTGAAATGCTTTAAGCCGAAAATAAAAGATTTACTCTTTAAACAGCCCTAAGTGTGAAAGTATAATAAAATAAAAAGTATAATAAAGTTAAAAAACATTTAAATTATATGTACATATTTCTTTAAAAATATATTTAAATGTAAAGCATTTATTCTGGGAATAGCAAGGAAAAAACTACTATTGAATGAAACTTAAAATGTTTTTGACCATGAATATTCTACAATTAAGTATCAATTTAAATTCTTAATTAGGAACATACATAAACATAATGATAACAAAGAAAGGTTTCTTAATTTTATTACAAAAAAAATATTATTTAAAATATAAATGTGAAACGGATAATTTGTGAACTACTCAAACCTTTGAAATTTCAAAATCGTCTTCTAAATGGCAACTGCAGGAACCTTTTCGATCCAAGTTTCCACTTAATCGAAAAGCTTATAAAACCCAAAAAGCAGTTGAACTCACAGCACATTACCATGTTTTCCCACCAACGACCTTCAGGATGGAAAGCTCATCTCCCGAAAGGGGGGGCAACCCTTAGGCTTTGCTCTCACAGCATCCATTGCGCAGCTGTAGGAACTGTCAGCCGGCTTTTGGATGCTGGCCCACCCCACAATGAACCACAAATATCCCACCTCGTCGGCCAATTCCGCAACAGGATAAAAGAAGGCAAATCAAACACTCGCAGTTTAGTGGATGTCACATCCTCACAGAAAGCGGATGAGCGGAATTTCCAAACAAAATATCTAAACATAAACCCTAAGGAAATAATAAAAATACAGCGGATTTAGCCGCCAAGTGAAAATGTTAAGAATCTATTAGATACGGAATTCTGGCAAGTGACAAGTGATTGATATAACAAGTGAGGCAATCATCTGAAACCGGAAACTGCCATTGCAAGCGATTTCAAGATGCGGTCAAGAGGAGTTTTGTTCCTGCCTTTTCTACTGCTGCAATTAATTTTCAACTGCCGAGACGCTCATTCCCTGCCCGATATCATCAAGATTGGTGAGTAAATTATAGAAGTCCGAAAGATATAAGCCGGAAACTTGAGTGGTTCCGGCAGAATCCAGATGAAAACAAAATTTAGGCAGCATCTTGCTTACGTATCGATTTTTTACACGTCATAATCAAGAGCGCCTCTGTGTCTCTGAGTGAGTTCGTGTATCTGATACAAGCGGGTGTCAGTGTGTGCGTTTCGATTGTTTGTTTTTATTTGAACACTGCGGGAGTTAAAGAAAAACATTTGATTCATTTGCTTATCGTACATTGAAAAACACACCGCCTGTAATTTGTCACCGCAGGTGGGCTCTTCCATCCCTCCGACGACCACCAGGAACTGGCCTTCCGTCAGGCAGTGGACCGCATCAATGCAGACCGCTCTATCCTGCCGCGCTCCAAGCTGGTAGCCCAAATCGAGCGCATCTCTCCGTTCGACAGCTTCCATGCCGGAAAAAGGGGTGAGTACGGGTAGTGTTGACTTGGCCTGATTTCCCACATTCCATCTGTCACCTTTTACCCAGTTGCCTTCACCTTCACCTGATGCTTTTACCTGCATATTTGATTTGAACATACATACAACTTCTCTCATGGTTCCACTTTGAGTTCACTTGTCATCCCTAAATTGACATCTCTTTGTTTTTGTTTTAGCTTTGCACTTGATTTACCCCTTTGTTTTCCTGTGCATCTGATTTATGTTATGCTAATTGCTGCCAGGGAGATTTAAAACCTTTTTATGTTCCTAACTCGCAAAAAATTCGATTTGGCAGCATTTGTTATGCTTTTTATAGAAAAATTGTTAAATTTTTAGATGGAAAATGGAACTTGTTAGTCATATAAACTAAAATAAATGAACTATTTTAAATTAGAGGAAAGTATTAGGCACTCTAAAACAGTTTTCTAATATTGGAAATGTTATATTTTTTTATTTAACAAAATTAAATCTAGTATACAATACTTAATCTAATGGACTACTTAAAGAGTACCAGCTTCTAGGGCCTACGAATGGAGATTAAATGATCTAATTAAAATATTTAAATATTTAGGTTGATTCTAACGACAAATTGGAAAAGGTTAATTATGGTTTCTTGTGAAACTATATTTAAACTATCAGAAGGTTTTTTTTCTGCCAAAAATGAGCGCCCTGATGGCCTCCAGAAATAAAAAAAAAAACAAAATAATAATCATAAAATAAATAATTTTACTTTATTACTAAAGTTTTTTCTGCAGTTCATTATATTAAATAGTATTAATTAAAACATGATATAAAGTTAGGTTCTTAATACATCAAAGTAAAGGGCTTACATTTTTCATATAGTAGCAAGAACAAAAATCAGTTAATATGAAAATATCAGGTTCTCAGAAAAATAACCAGATAAATATCCCGGTACGTAAGCCAGTCCAGTCTTCAGCTTGCAGTTTATTGCAGGCAGCAGGTGAAACTTCCATGGCACTTGATAATCGTTAAAAGCTGAAGATGAATCGTAAACCGGGCAAAGGAACGTGAGCCAACTGTCGAATATCCTGTGATAAATGAGACACAAATGATGCCGAAGTTGGCCCAAGCACAGAAAAAAAGCAAAGAGAAAATACCTTGGCCAAAAGAGTAAACCACACTTCAGCACGATAGTAACGAGGCAACGAGGTGGACAGGACAACAGCCACCCACAGAGTCCTGAGAGCAGGTTAACCGCATCACAGAGCCAGGACATCGAAGTGCAGGTGCACATGCACTTACACGTGCTTAGCGCGTTTGATGAGCCCGAAAGGATGCTGACTGACAGGCGGGGGAAAATCCTTCCTGCGGGTAGAGAGGGTGGGGGACACGGGGAAAGTCTAAAAGGAAAGGCCAAACGGGCTAAACGAAATTATGTCATACTGAAGTGCATTTTAAATATGCGAAAGAGGCTAACTGAACATTACTGAGCCAAAAGCCAAGCACATTACTGCGCTACTTGGGCTCGTTTTTACTTTTTGAGCCTTTCAAGTCGCAGCCCCAGATTATCTTCCCTCACAAGCAGATTGGATTGGGATTGGGATTGGAACTGAGATTGTTACAGGGACTGTGATTGGGAATGAGAATGGGTACACAGCACGTTACTTGAAAATCAATTTGCGACTTTTAAGCTCTTTGGGATTTGTGTTTCACTCAATTTGCCATAAGGCAAGAATGTCAGAAGTTGCTCCTTGCTCGAAAAACCTGGGGAAACTCCGCAGATATTTTACAGCGGTTGGGTTTGATTTTATAAAATACATATTGGTTGGGGCGGCAAACTAAGTTCGTCAAAGAGCAACAAATAACTTGAACATAAACCTCAATTGCATTGTTTGTCTTACAGTTTGTGGCTTACTGAACATCGGCGTTGCAGCAATTTTTGGGCCGCAATCCTCGCACACCGCTAGCCATGTGCAGAGCATTTGCGACAACATGGAGGTGAGTGGGCTAACAAGTGGGATGGCTTGATATGTCTCAGTTAGGCTCGCCCATAAAACCCTTTGACTAACACACACAAGCTCATTTCAGATTCCCCACTTGGAGAATCGCTGGGACTACCGGCTGAGACGCGAAAGCTGCCTGGTGAATCTTTATCCGCACCCTAATACGCTCTCCAAGGTAGGAAGGTGACACTGCAATCTCCCAATCCCCCAATCCCGACCCACCTCACGACTTGCATTGTTGATGTTTTCGCTTGTTTTTAGGCTTACGTGGATATCGTGCGACATTGGGGCTGGAAGACTTTCACCATTATCTACGAGAACAATGACGGCATCGTGCGGCTGCAGGAGCTCCTCAAGGCACACGGGATGACGCCATTTCCCATTACTGTGCGCCAGCTCAGTGACAGCGGGGATTACCGGTAAGCCTAGCCAATCGTCTCCACCAATTCTGTTACGTTGGCCTACATATGCAACCTATTTTCGTTTAACTGATTATGATCTTTTGACATTTTTTTTGGAATTATTTGAGTTCGTTTCACACCGTGACATAACATAATTTTTGATCAAACAAATTGGCTAACAATCTGCCTGATGATTTATTCAAATACTTGATTGATAAATTAGATTTTCGAGTATATTATAAAAAACTGAACTAATATTTCATTACTAAATATTTTAGGCCCCTCCTGAAGCAAATCAAGAACTCGGCAGAGGCTCACATCGTGCTGGACTGCTCCACGGAGAGGATCCACGAGGTGTTGAAGCAGGCTCAGCAGATTGGCATGATGAGTGACTATCACAGCTACCTGGTGACCTCACTGGACCTGCATACGGTGAATCTGGATGAGTTCCGATACGGTGGCACGAACATCACAGGATTTCGGCTTATCAACGAGAAGATTGTATCGGATGTGGTTCGCCAGTGGAGTATCGATGAGAAGGGTATGCTGCGATCTGCCAACCTGACCACCGTACGCTCGGAAACTGCTTTAATGTATGATGCAGTGCATCTATTCGCCAAGGCACTGCACGACCTGGACACTTCTCAGCAGATCGATATTCATCCAATAAGTTGCGATGGCCAGAGCACTTGGCAACACGGGTTCAGTCTGATCAACTACATGAAGATCGTCGAAATGAAGGGCTTGACCAATGTGATTAAGTTTGATCATCAGGGTTTCCGGACCGACTTTATGTTAGACATTGTAGAACTGACTCCAGCGGGTATCCGGAAGATCGGCACGTGGAACTCCACGCTGCCCGATGGCATCAACTTTACGCGCACCTTTAGCCAAAAGCAGCAGGAGATCGAGGCCAACCTGAAGAACAAGACACTGGTGGTCACTACCATATTGGTGAAGAAAATCTCTAATATATTAATTTAAATATCTGACTAACTTTTGCTTATCTTTCTGTAGAGTAATCCCTACTGCATGCGAAAGGAATCAGCCATTCCCTTGAGTGGAAATGATCAGTTTGAAGGCTACGCGGTGGATCTGATCCATGAGATCTCAAAGTCGCTGGGTTTTAACTATAAAATTCAACTAGTACCAGATGGTAGCTACGGAAGTCTCAATAAATTAACGGGGTTAGTACAAGATTTATTTAGTTTAAATTTATTTAAAAATATTTCAACTTACCTTTCAGGGAATGGAACGGCATGATTAGGGAGTTGCTGGAGCAGCGAGCCGATTTAGCCATTGCAGATCTCACCATCACCTTTGAACGAGAGCAGGCGGTGGACTTCACCACACCCTTTATGAATCTGGGAGTGTCGATATTGTACCGAAAGCCCATCAAACAGCCACCCAATTTGTTCTCCTTCCTGTCCCCATTGTCTTTGGATGTGTGGATCTACATGGCCACTGCCTACTTAGGGGTCTCCGTGCTGCTCTTTATCTTAGCCAAGTTGGTTTTATATACAGCAGTTATGTTTATCTGATCTAATCATTTTTTTTACTTAGATTCACTCCTTATGAATGGCCAGCCTATACGGATGCTCATGGCGAGAAGGTGGAGAGTCAGTTCACTCTACTGAACTGCATGTGGTTTGCCATTGGATCGCTGATGCAGCAGGGCTGTGACTTTTTGCCAAAGTATTTTTTAAAACTAAGGTTTTTACTGGTTGTTTTAACGCTGAAAATTACAGGGCTTTATCCACACGGATGGTGGCTGGGATTTGGTGGTTCTTCACCCTGATCATGATTTCCTCATACACTGCCAATTTGGCTGCCTTTTTGACAGTCGAGCGTATGGATTCCCCCATCGAAAGTGCCGAGGATTTGGCCAAGCAAACGAGAATAAAATATGGCGCTTTGAAGGGTGGCAGTACGGCTGCTTTCTTCAGGGTGAGTCTGAAAAATTATGATAAATAATAGATAAATAAAGAACTTCTTATATATTTCTTTCAGGACTCTAAGATCTCCACATATCAGCGCATGTGGTCCTTCATGGAATCAGCCCGTCCTTCAGTCTTCACAGCCAGCAATGGCGAAGGTGTGGAGAGGGTCGCCAAGGGAAAAGGTAAATAAGATGATCTCTAAACTGAAGGAATGGTAACAAATTTGTATCTTTAGGATCCTATGCCTTTCTAATGGAGTCCACCTCCATTGAGTATGTAACCGAACGCAATTGCGAGCTGACGCAAGTGGGTGGAATGCTGGACACTAAGAGCTATGGCATAGCCACACCACCCAGTAAGATTATTAAAAACTTAAGGTTATTCATTACTAACTGCTGATCAATTCCTTTCATAGATTCACCCTATCGCACGGCCATCAACAGTGTAATACTTAAGCTTCAAGAGGAAGGCAAACTGCATATCCTGAAAACGAAATGGTGGAAGGAGAAACGCGGCGGTGGCAAGTGCCGTGTGGAGACCTCTAAATCCTCTTCGGCGGCCAATGAACTGGGACTGGCCAATGTCGGTGGCGTCTTTGTGGTCCTAATGGGCGGCATGGGCGTGGCCTGCGTCATTGCCGTCTGTGAATTCGTGTGGAAGTCACGCAAGGTCGCCGTGGAGGAGCGCCTGAGTGCAATACTGAACGAATGAGAAAAGTCGTAAACCCGGGACGAATGGGTCTAGGCGACATGGGTCTCGGGAGAGTAATCAAAAATGCTAGTAGAAGTGGGAATGTGCAATCCGGTAGAGTATATATAAAGAGCAATAGACGAAATAGGCAATTTTCGACAACCCAATCAACCGTAGTCTTTACCGGATACTCTAGATTTTTGGATTCAATGACCAGGAATTTCGTAGAGTTAAGGGAAGCGGAGCCACCAATGAAAGTTTGCACCAGTTTGGAGACGACGTGGAACCAGATATTTATATTGATTCAAGCTACATATGAAAGACATATGTACCACTGGTGCATATACATATATATATATATATATTATATATTTATACAGGTTATACTCCCTTTCGCAACTTACTCGTAATAATCATATACATAAAACTATACACTAAAGGAACCACAACCAATTGCAACAAATCGAAATCGTATTGCATTTATATTTGAAAGCATTTTTGGGAATTGACCTATAGACGTAATTGTAGCTAAATTATATATAGACATGCATATTACCCAGAAGACAAGATCAGCGAATTCTTAACCCTAAGATGCCGGACACAATTTACACAATCGAAAAGGATATTTTCCACAGAACTAGCCAGTAGATCTAACCTAAGTGAGTTGTAATTCTTAGCTTAAACATATTAATCCAACTTTCTCCCTCTTCCCACAAGAACTTCTGTCAGTCCCCCGCCCCTCTAAGATATAAGATTGTAAAATGTAATTACCGCTCATACAGGCAATTCTGACAAACAATTTCATAAAATACTTACAATTAAATAAAACAAGTTAACAAAAATTGATATCCTTCGATGAACACCTGCGTCCGATTTGACATTAGATGTGGCTATCGACGCCTAACCGCAAACCGTCAATCACCAGGCCTTTCCACTTTCTCCCCAATCAATTTTTCATGGCTCCTGCACACGCTCAATGGTCAGTCAGTGGGTTGGTTTTAATTGGGTCTATGGTTTTATCAGCGAGGTTACTTCGTTACCCTGATGCGTTTTGTTTCCTCAGTCGTGGTTTAGAAATCCTGGCAATATGCGGTCATCGGCTGGTCTTCTGCTACTTCTGGGACTGCAGCTCTTTATCTCGGTCCCAGTCGATGCCAATGACTTTTCCTCCTTTCTAAGTGCCAATGCTTCGCTGGGTGAGTTAAGGATCTTAAAGGATTTGTCCCAAAAAATACAAATTTCTTGGATATACAGCCGTTGTGGTAGATCACGAGTACATGACCATGCATGGTCAGAACATAATGTCCCATTTTGAGAAAATCCTTAGCGATATTATAAGGGAGAATCTGAAGAACGGCGGTATTAATGTCAAATATTACACCTGGAGCTCGGTGCGTTTGAAAAAGGGTAAGATTTGGTTTTTCCTATTAAGGTTTGACATTCATCTAAAATGCTGCAGATTTTTTGGCCGCAATTACGGTTACGGATTGCGAAAATACTTGGAACTTTTACAAGAACACACAGGAAAATTCGATTCTATTGATCGCCATCACAGATTCCGACTGTCCTCGACTGCCTTTGAATCGTGCTCTTATGGTAAGGAACTCTTTCGATTCTAAATAGATCCTAGCTTGAAGGGACCTCTATATACTATATAGATTCCCATCGTTGAACACGGCGATGAGTTTCCTCAAGTTATTCTGGATGCTAAGGTCCAGCAGATTCTCAACTGGAAGACAGCTGTGGTCTTTGTTGATCAAACCATATGTGGGTAAATCTTGAATTTAAATTAGTCTTATTGATGCAAATTTCCCGTTTCCATCTCTGTATGCAACAGTGGATGAAAATTCGGTACTGGTGAAATCAATTGTACACGAAAGTACCACCAACCACATCACTCCAATCTCTCTGATCCTCTACAAAATCAATGATACTCTAAGGGGCCAACAGAAGCGAGCTGCACTGCGTCAAGCTCTGGCCCAATTCGCTCCTACCAAACACGAAGAGATGAGTCAGCAGTTTCTAGTAGTATCCGCCTTCCACGAGGACATTATCGAAATAGCTGAGACCCTTAACATGTTTCATGTGGGAAACCAGTGGATGTTCTTTGTATTAGACAAGGTTAGACGGGATTTCGACGCCGGCACGGTGACCATGAATTTGGACGAAGGAGCCAACATAGCCTTTGCCCTTAATGAAACCCTGCCTGACTGCCAGGACACTCTGAACTGCACTATCTCGGAGGTAAGTCTCGCTCTGGTGACCTCTATTTCCAAGATGACCATCGAGGAGGAGTCCATATACGGTGAGATCTCAGATGAGGAGTGGGAGTCCATTCGATTTACCAAGCATGAGAAGCAAGCTGAGATCCTCGAGTATATGAAGGTATGTACTTAAACTGCGGTGGGTAAGCCTCAAAAAAATAATGAATAAAAAGTTATTTTTAAAAATGACCCATTAAGTAATTTAAATGAAATGTTTTCTGTATCCGATCTTTCAACTTCAAACTAACAAAAAAATATATTGCAAATCATTTTAAAACATCCACTGATACATTTTTACCAGGACTACCTGAAGGCGAACGCCAGATGCTCTAGCTGCGCAAGATGGCGTGTAGAGACGGCCATTACTTGGGGCAAAAGTCAGGAGAATCGCAAGTTTCGGACAGGTTAGACCAGCCTTTCTTATTTACATCTCTCGGTCAATGTTTTAATACCTAAAGCTCCCACCCGTGATGCCAAGAACCGAAACTTTGAATTTATCAACATTGGCTACTGGAGTCCCTTACTAGGATTCGTCTGTCAGGAACTGGCATTTCCCCACATTGAGCACCATTTTCGCAACATCACCATGGACATTGTTACCATACATGTGAGTCTTTGAGCCAGGAATATAATTATTATTATTGGTTCGAATTGCTCGTAGAATCCACCCTGGCAAATCCTTACCAAAAACAGCCATGGCGTCATCGTAAAACATTCGGGCATAGTAATGGAGATCATTAAGGAGCTCAGTCGAGCCCTGAATTTCAGTTACTACCTTCATGAAGCCTCCACGTACAAGGAAGACTATTCACTTAGCTCATCAACAAATACCAATGAAAGCGTGAGCATTGTCATACCTAAAATAAATTCCATCCTTACCCTATTTTCCACAGGATGAACTGGCGGGCTCAATGACTTTTCAGATACCCTACCGGGTGGTGGAGATGGTACAAGGTAATCAGTTCTTTATTGCTGCTGTGGCAGCCACCGTGGAGGATCCCGACCAGAAGCCGTTCAACTACACCCTACCTATCAGCGTGCAGAAGTATTCCTTTATCACTCGTAGGCCGGATGAAGTATCCCGCATTTATCTCTTCACGGCTCCCTTCACCTTGGAAACTTGGCTTTGCCTGATGGGCATCATCTTGCTGACTGCTCCTATGCTGTACGCCATCAATCGACTTGCTCCTCTAAAGGAGATGCGAATCAGAGGCCTGTCCACAATGAAAAGCTGTTTTTGGTACATATTTGGCGCTTTGTTGCAACAAGGTAAGTGTTTCTTAAATGGTTGTAACTTGCATATTCTTCATAAGGAGATAATCTGTAATGAAATGTAAAAGATTATACGCTCCTCCAACACATCTTTCCCCATTTGCAGGAGGCATGTACTTGCCAACAGCAGACAGTGGCCGGCTGGTGGTGGGCTTCTGGTGGCTCGTAGTAATTGTGCTGGTGACCACGTACTGCGGCAACCTGGTAGCTTTCCTCACGTTCCCAAAGTTCCAACCCGGTGTGGACTACCTCAACCAGCTGGAGCGTCACAAGGATATATCAGAGTATGGCCTACGTAATGGTACCTTCTTCGAGCGCTATGTGCAGGCAACGACCAGAGAGGACTTTAAGCAATTCATGACCCGAGCCCGGATATACGGAACTGGCCAGGAAGAGGACATCGAGGCAGTAAAACGAGGCCAACGCATCAACATTGACTGGCGGATCAATTTACAACTGATTGTGCAGAAACACTTCGAACGGGACAAGGAGTGTTATTTCGCTTTGGGCAAGGAGAGCTTTGTAGATGAGCAGATTGCAATGATTGTGCCGGCTGAGAGCGCGTATCTGCACTTGGTGAATCGTCACATCAACAGCATGTTTCGTATGGGCTTCATCGAACGCTGGCACCAGATGAACCTGCCCAGTACGAACAAGTGCAGCGGGAAAGGTGCCCAGCGACAGGTTACCAACCACAAAGTGAACATGGACGACATGCAAGGATGCTTCTTGGTCCTGTTACTCGGCTTCACTGCAGCATTTATAATGGGTTGCTTCGAGTTCTGGTTCCGCCGTTTTAGAGCCAATCGAAAACGACGGAAATTTACCAACTGACAATTCACCCTTGAAAATGTTTAAAGCAGTTGCTGTAGTGTGGAGTTGATGAGCTCAAAGAATATAGCTACTTTGCAGTAGCTTCCCTTTTGCAGTATTTAAAATAAACTTATTTCAATCGAATGGTTTCCTACAAATTTGAAATAAACATTTAATATAGCTATGAAACACCTAATAGATTTATATTGCCAAACTACTTGTTTAAACTTGTGTAACCTTACGTTAATATAGGTCTAAATATTTCGCATTGAACACTAGATCAAACTCAATCCGGACAGGTCCGACAGGCCCGCAAAGTAATCAACAGGTTTTCAAATATTTGAAGACAATCTTCTAAGTAATACTTTTTAGTAAGTCAAACTATTAAAATATAACTAACTATTGATCCATAGACTTTTCCGGGATTCACTTTAGTTCTTACTCAAACTATATATATATATAGGCAGGCAAACTAATCCACTAGTAGCAAATATTAAGTGTTTACGCGGATTCACCAACTGACCACTTGAAATGTTGAACATTAGGGGTTTGTTTAAAGGTTTGAAATTACTTTATGAACATCATATCAAATCTGGAGTTAAAGGTAGACTTTTGTTCATCCAAAACTCTCTAGGAGTTGGCGTTGGGTCCACGACGGCGACCGAAGCCCTGGACAAAGTTGACGAACCGGCGGTTGTACTGGATCCTGCGCTTGGCGCGTCCGGTCTTCTTCTTTTCTTCTCCTGCTTCTCAACCTTGGGGGTCTGGCCCTTGACCTTACCGGCACGAGCCAGAGATCCGTGAACCTTACCTCCCAGCATGGGAATGTTAAGGTCCAGCTCGAATGAGCTGAGAGCGGTCACGGGGGTCTCGTTGGCCAAAGTGGTGCCCTCGCAATCCAGGCTGAATTCCTCGGCGTTGAATCCATGGATCTGGGCCAGTTGGTTCTACATGGCGGATAGATGGAGAGCAAACAATTAGGTTAGGAACGCTCCTGTTTACAAGTGTATTTATTTTTAGGACTCACCTTGACTCCGGCAATGGTGGCATCCTGGGAAACCTCCAGGGCCTCAATGGTCTCTAGTCCACGGACAAACAGCTGCATGTTGATTCGCTCTGCAAAATAACCATGCCCCGTGTATTCATTAGTTTTCATATTGGCTTACGATGGGAACACGTGTGCTTATTTGAACTCTATTTTTTGGCTTTTTCACTCGTTTTGCGTACGACACGTTATGCCCCGCCGTCTTAGCCATTGCTCGCACACACATTTCAAGGGTTTATTGGTTTTATTTTGGTTATTTTATATTATATTTTAACAGAAATCACTCGGTTACCTTTTGACTTGGCGTGCGGATCACGAAAAAGAAAGATGGCGCAGAAATATCGATGGGCCTATCGATTTTCATGTTTTAAAAATATCGATAGCTGGTCAGGCGTTAGTGTATTTTAAATAATTTTCTGGCAACGTTGTCGTTAAAAGAGAGCAAGGTTAGTTGCCGATTTATTATAAAAAAGTGTGACCAGTTTTGAATTTCTAGTATTTTTTCAACTGACAGATGGATTCAAAATCAAGCTGTGACGTTACTTTATAAATATATATTAAATATTTAAGTTTTTTTTTTTAATTTGAGAAAATGCTATGACTATATCCACTAATAATTTGGAAATTAATCGGCCATGAGTAACAAACTTTATAATTACATGTCAAAAAATGCGAGCACATTTTTATAGTTTACGGAACGCCAGTCATATCTGAGATCTTTAAAGAGCTTATAAACTAGATATTAAAAACTATTTTAAAAAAATGTATATTACGTATCTTTTATAATACTTGAAACACGAATATAACAAGATTATAATTATTATATGATTATTTTTATTTTTTATCTTGACAAAGTATAATATATACATAAGTTGATTAATTTATTATTCATACACAAATACATTTCTAGTCGTTCCTTGCAATATTACACGAATAAAGCCTGTCTTATTTTCATTGAATAGACAATGTTAAACCATCTTCTTCTTCATACACAAAGGTTCGTAAAAGGACAGTCTGGCTGACGCCCTGCTAAGCCCAGACACCCCGCTTACCTCAATCTACGCAAAAATGGGAATTACGTTAAGTATGCCACTAGTCCGCCCGCGCCCGTCTTGACCCAGTTTTTGTGGACCTCTCCTATGGAATCCGAATGCAACATTTACAGAATCTAAATGCGCATGCGCCTGCGCTTGTCCTTTGTTTGATCCTCCGAGAGGACAGAAGGAAGAATACTCCGGGACTATGGGCTGTGTGTTATTCTACGCCATTAGAATAAATATTGCGGCATTGTTTGTCAAACAGGACTAGATTAGTAACATAAACATTCCGTCATAGAATGCAAATCATAAGCCGATTTGACAAATTTGCACGAATTATCTGCGTCTAATGAGTGTGGCTTAAAATGTCTAGGGTCCTTCGATGGTATGGACATTATGAAAATTATCCCAAGGGTCTTCTAGAAAAGTTTTAAGCATGGTTCTAGCTATGATAAATGGATATATATGTACGATCTAAAATTCCAATACCAGATGCGACATTTAATATGAATCTCAACCCTTTTAAAAAAACACCTTTCGATGTTCATTTAAGATAGCTAAATGGCCCATGCGATCCTCTCATCCTGTTGTCCACTTCGGTCTCGATATCCTAGCTATCGATTACTCATATGATCGGATTAGTTTGGGATTAGGGGCAGACATCCTCCTGGATTTGCGTAAACTCATTTGCCAGACCTTGTGGCAGAATCAGGACTTGGAAAACGCATCCGCAATCATTTCCCCCAACTGTTGTTTTGGAGGAACTGCCGCTTTGTAATCTGATATTTTAGCATGTTTGCCAACAAAGGCAGCGGAAAAACAAATTACTCTTGACCATAAAAACAACGGCAACAATTGCAAAATCGGCTTAGCCTGCCCTTTGTCTTCCTTTCGCCGTTTGCTGTTTTTCCGGCACGCGAATTTTCTTATTTTCATTCACCTTTTTGTGAATATTTTCCCATAAGGGTACGAATTTCGACCACAAATCCAAACATGTTATCATATCTTAGGGGTCGGCTGCCTTTGATCCCATTATGCGAGTGCAATCTTGCCATGGGAAGCAAAAACAGCGAAGTCAACCAGTTTCCGCAATGAAATATTAAATTACTCAATCTATATTCAATTTGCATCAGGTGATATGCATATGAAGTAGTGTTTTATAATATTTATATTTCAATTTTGAATAATACAATTTTTTTATTTTTCCAAGCAATAAAATAAAATCTTTATAGCTCTTACAAGTTTTATAATGTGAAGAACATAAGAACATAAACTAAGTAATATCATTAAGATTCTGGTAAATAGTATGTTATAAATCCATCAAAATAATATATAAAATAATAGGATTTTTCTCCACAAAAAACCAAACAAATAAGTTAATTTCCAAATTTTATTAACATATTAAAATGAGCTTCACGAATTATTGTAGAACTTTTTTTGGGTATTAAATGCAATCAAGTTTTTATAGCTCTAATAATCAGTTTAACTAACCAAACCTTTTAACAGTTAAGAAAAACATTACAAAAAATAGATTAAAAATAAATAAAATAAAGGTGAAGTTTACAATTCTTCTTCTTCTTTCTAACCACATAATACGAGGTGTGTTCAAAAAGTAAGGTGACTTTTCAAATTTCGCGGGCAACATATTTTCGATTATCGTTTTTTTTGTTTTGTTATATTGGTACACTCTTCCCTAACATCTGTACCAAGTTTCAATGGAACATCCTCTTTTGTTTGGTTGTGAGAGGCGTAAAGTTACAAGTTGTTTTGCGAGCTCGGCGATTTTTTGCTATCGAAAAATATGGATCAAAGGATTTGCATCAAATTTTGTGTAAAAAATAAAATTAAGTGCTCTGAAACACTTGAAATGTTGACAGTGGCATACGGTGAAACTGTTCTGAGTAAAAACAAGAGGAAACGCTATAGTCGAGTGCCGCGACTATAAGATACCCGTTACTGTTTTACACAATTTTAAAATATTAATTTTGCTAGTGGAAATTCACAAGGCGCCACCTATTGTCAGAGGAAGTATGTTGAGTATGCTTATAGTGACGTCTCTGCCCATGTGGAGCCTTATAACCTTAATTTCTTCATAAATAGCGAAATAATGTTCCGATTTGAAAAATCTTTTGTAAATCGATAGATATTAACAGAAATAAGTTACACAAGGTCAAACGAAGGCATTCATAATAATATTATAGACTCCACAGTTTTCCGCGGTTTGTGGGCGTTAGAGTGGGCGTGGCCGGATGCAACTTCGTGGCAAGTTGCAGAGGCATCTCCTAAATACGTGTTCCTAAGCAAAATTGTGTAGCTTTTATAGTTTTCGAGATTTTAGCATTTTTGGTTTTTCGGGTTTTGTGGGCGTTAGAGTGGGCGTGGCGTGAACGGAAAAAAACAATTCGCATTGGGAGCATCATAGAAACATACATGCTTGATCCGAACTTTCTATCTCTTATAGTTACCGAGATATCAGCTTTTCTAGAAAATCCGAAAACCGTCTTTTGAGCCTTGTGGGCGTATGGGTGGGTGTGGCCGGATAGTAGTAGCACTATAAGATGCGCTGTCATCTAAAGATTATACTTTCTGAATTTCAACTTTCTATCTACAATAGTTCCTGAGATTTCAGCAATTTTAGTTTTTTGCGATTTGTGGGCGTTAGAGTGGGCGTGGCAGGATGCTGTAATAAACTTGCGCTGTCCCGGGACCTCAAGAATCTTCATGCTTAATCTCAGCTTTTTATCTGCTATAGTTCCTGAGATCTCAGCGTTCATACGGACGGACGGACGGACGGACGGACGGACGGACGGACGGACGGACGGACGGACGGACGGACGGACAGACGGACATGGCTCCAATCGACTTCGCAATTGATCCTGATCAAGAATATATATACTTTTATAGGGTCGCAAAAAGCTTCCTTCTATCTGTTACATACTTTTCAACGAATCTAGTATACCCTTTTACTCTACGAGTAACGGGTATAAAAATGTGTACAAGTGGTACAAACTCTTCCAAGATGGCCGGGAAGATGCCAATGACCAGCCTCGCTCTGGACGCCCAAGCACGTCAACAACTGATGAAAACGTTCAAGCAGTGACGAAAATTGTTTTGGAAAATCGTCGAATCACTATCAGAGAAGTTGCTGAAGATGTCGGTATATCGCTTGGCTCGTGCCATGAAATTTTTTCAAACGTTTTGGGTATGAGTCGTGTGTCAGCGAAGTTTGTTCCGAAATTGCTGAATTTTGAGCAAAAGAACCGTCGCATGAGCATCGCTCAAGAGCTGTTGAATGACGTCAACGACGACCCAGATTTACTCAAAAGGGTCATAACTGGTGACGAATCATGGGTATATGGTTATGATATCGAAACCAAAGCCCAATCGTCCCAATGGAAGAGCCCAGACGAGCCAAGACCGAAAAAAGCAAAAAATCGCCGAGCTCGCAAAACAACTTGTAACTTTACGCCTCTCACAACCAAACAAAAGAGGATGTTCCATTGAAACTTGGTACAGATGTTAGGGAAGAGTGTACCAATATAACAAAACAAAAAAAACGATAATCGAAAATATGTTGCCCGCGAAATTTGAAAAGTCACCTTACTTTTTGAACACACCTCGTATGTTACACTTGATAACTTCTGGGATAAATTTAATTTTAAGTTGACCAGAACTCATCAATACGATCTTTCAACATTAAACAGTTTTTATTAAGATATTAAATTGTCACAAAAAAAACCAACTAAATTTTTTCAAGTCAACATTTATTTATTGAACATTTTATAAATTGTATTTATTTAATTATTTCTTTATTTAACTGTTATTTCTCACACACCATAACCACAGGTCACCAAATAAATCAAAAATATTTTAGATTTAATAAAATTAATATTGTCAATGTTTTATTCTGGGTATAATATTTTACTTATATTAACTTAAAACAAGAGGAAACGCTATAGTCGAGTGCCGCGACTATAAGATACCCGTTACTGTTTTACAAAATTTTAAAATATTATTTTGCTAGTGGAAATTCACAAGGCGCCACCTATTGTCAGAGGAAGTATGTTGAGTATGCTTATAGTGACGTCACTGCCCATGTGAGGCCTTATAACCTTAATTTCTTCATAAATAGCGAAATAATATTCCGATTTGAAAAATCTTTGGTAAATCGATAGATATTAACAGAAATAAGTTATACAAGGTCAAACGAAGGCATTCATAATAATATTATAGACGCCACAGTTTACCGCGGTTTGTGGGCGTTAGAGTGGGCGTGGCCGAATGCAACTTTGTGGCAAGTTGCAGAGGCATCCCCTTAATGTGTGTTTCTTAGCAAAATTGTGTAGCTCTTATAGTTTTCGAGATTTTTGCATTTTTGGTTTTTCGGGTTTTGTGGGCGTTAGAGTGGGTGTGGCTTGATCGGAAAAAAACGATTCGCATTGGGAGCATCATAGAAACCTACATGCTTAATCCAGACTTTCTATCACTTATAGTTACCGAGATATCAGCTTTTCTAGAAAATCCGAAAACCGTCCTTTGAGCCTTGTGGGCGTATGGGTGGGTGCGGCCGGATAGTAGTACTACTATAAGATGCGCTGTCATCTAAAGATTATACTTTCTGAATTTCAACTTTCTAACTGCAATAGTTCCTGAGATTTCAGCAATTTTAGTTTTTTGCGATTTGTGGGCGTTAGAGTGGGCGTGGCAGGATGCTGTAATAAACTTGCGCTGTCCCGGAACCTCAAGAATCTTCATGCTTAATCTCAACTTTGTATCTACTATAGTTCCTGAGATCTCAGCGTTCATACGGACGGACGGACGGACGGACGGACGGACGGACGGACGGACGGACGGACGGACGGACGGACGGACGGACAGACGGACATGGCTCAATCGACTTCGCTATTGATCCTGATCAAGAATATATATACTTTATAGGGTCGCAAAAGCTTCCTTCTATCTGTTACATACTTTTCAACGAATCTAGTATACCCTTTTACTCTACGAGTAACGGGTATAAATATCAAAATGTATATACAAAAAGCCACTAATTTGGAATAAGTTAACCAGTAACAGCCATGGCGGAAAGGAATATCATGGATTCCTCTCCAACTTATGCCACAACGATCATTTCTGGTTCCGGACTGGAGGCATTCGATGATAAGGTGGAGTCGCAGCTCTCATCCTTTTCGCGTTTCTCCCTTCTTTCGCGTGCTCTTCGATTTTGGAACCAAATCTTAACCCTCGTGTTGGTCAGCTCCAGGGATACGGCCAGCTTGTTGGCATCCTCGGCACTAAGGTAGTTGGACTCCTTGTAGGCACCTTCCAGGGCCTGTAGCTGATGGGGAGTAAATGGGATGCGGGGCAGACGACCTGGTGTCCTTTTGGCGGGTGCACTTTGCCTTTGGGGCCTTGGCAACTTGGGCGGATGGTAGCGGGTATACTGCAACCAATCGTAGACTGGAATTTGAGCCTCCACCGAAGCTGGAGGAGAATCCTGTGGCTCCTTTACAATGGAATATGATGGCTGGGCGTACGGATGAAATGGCAGGCTGGCACGAACTCGTTGTAGGACACCCAAAGATGCATTGGTGCCCACATATCTTTCACCGGCGCGGTTCAAAATATACTCGATGCTGAAATCACTCATCCTTAGGCGATCCTTTCGCTACGGTTGTCAAAGTGCTACTGTTGAGTTATCTGCGCATCCTCGAGCTATTTATCCAAGGACCTCCTTTCGCCGCCATTTGTATTCCGCACTGATAATATGACCATCCCTGTCTGGCAGGACGATGAGATTGGCCTGGCCCAATACAAATCTCATTCGGAAGCAGCGAGCCGTTTAATAGGCGTTTCCCAACTCCGACCAGGTAGAAATCCTTCGGCTCAATTATATAACCCTTATCAGCGGACGAGATTTGGCCCACGAAGGCAATAAAGTACACGAGTTCAAATGCCTCTCTGACTCCCTATTAAATTTTCGCTGTGATTTAGCTACTGTTTAATGCTAATATTGCTATACCCTACCCCGACTTGAAGGTAATGCAGCCCTTTTCAGGGTTATTAGAAACTCTTTGAAATTAGATTAAAAGCAATTTGGTATTTCTAACTAAATGAATTATTTCATTTTCTAAATATCCTTTATTTAATCATATTACTTATTAGGAAGTCCATTTCGAGAGTTAAGAGTTTAAACATAAATTAATTACCTGAGCATTTTTGGTAAAAAAAAAACAATCGTACAGTTTTCATTGACATGAACGAATATCTTTAATAATCTTAATTACCTTTAGCAATAAAGAGTCACATAGTTATAAATTTAGAAATAAAGAATATTAAATATTCGGTGAATTATAAATTAGCCTAAAACGAATTTGATAGTTTTTTTTATTTGTTGTGGTTATTATTGCCTGCCTAAAGGGTGGTTCCCTCCCTTGGCCATTAAATAAAATCATCGTCTGCCATGTTTTCTCTCGATCCTTTCCATCCTATCAGATCCCATACCATTCCATCCCTTTCGATGGGAAAACAAGTTGAGCCTGATATATCTTGATGCGCGTATGTTTTGATTGATTCGTAAATTTGTTTTCATAACAGTTGCCTTTGCAAAACCAGCTTTGCGGCATGCCGCGTTGTACTCTCAAAGTATCAATTACAATGTTAATTGAAAATACCCATTGGATAGCCAGCACACACGAAGTACATAATACAATACCATCTAATTTCTAGAGAGTGGCAAGCTTCGTAATATTTCAACCAGTTTATTTTTGGTGTGTACTTGAATTTAACAATTAGCAATTAGCTTAATGGGTTTATTTTGAAGTTTGTAGATAATTTTATTCGCCGACAGCTTTAATACAAAAGTAACAGTGGATATTTATAATAACATTACTATAATAATTACATTACTAAAAAAAGTTTAAGACCTGACACTTTTTTATCAATACTATAACAACAATCAATATGAACTGATTGATCCATTTATGTTGTGCTATTATCGTTTTCTAAGAATCGTATGTCTTTCTTTCTATTATCATCTCAAAAAAGTTGATAAGAAGTGGCTATTGGATTTCTAGAAAAGGGTCTGATTAAAAATGTTGGCGATATTAAGAATTCCCGGTAACTGGCATTTCTATCTTTGATCAAGAAAAAGGAAATTATATATGTCCAACTTAAAAATTTTACTTATATATAAAAGTTTTGCACTTAGATTTATTTACAAAATTCCCTTTTTTCTTAATCTTAGAAATCTTAATGAGTGAGAATTTGTACATCTGAGGAATAATATTACCCATCTTCAATACTCAAGTGTACTCTAAATGTTAGAAAACACACGCTAGATATATCCTTTTTCCTTAAAATCCTGCTTAAACTGGCTAAGAGAGTCCACAGATTAAAGTTAATTTGAGCCTGTATCTCTGCCTAATCACAAGGCAATTACCCGAGTATCTGCCAATTGTCATGTAATTGTCAACTAATTTTCCATTCGCACAATCGCTAGGCCGCAATTACGTTTGCCAAAACAGTTGTTGGCAACTATCTATCAACCCAAGAGATCAACCCTAGAGATAGAATTCCATAACATCCAAGAACAAAGGCTTCCAAGATCGGGCAGATTAGGGAAACGAGTCCTTTTTTGTGCGGTCTTGCGGTTGTCCAGAGTTTGGACCTAGAACTCAGCAGATGCAGAACTTTTTGGTCTCCGCAACCGACGAGCAGCCTGACATTCCGGCGTAAGCATCCAAGCGACTGATGCTGGGCACCCAAATGGTGATATTTTGGGCACTGGAATCCCACTGCACTGTAGCCTCAAATTTGGCATTACCAGGCTGCACACTTAATTGGACGAGATATTGATTAGAGTTACTTCTTTGCTGCACCGAGATTATTTGGTCCAGTTTAAGCTGACGGCATTTTTCTCCTCTTTTACTTCTCACAAATTTGTTTATGGCCTCCACCATCTGAGTAGACATATTCCTGGCACTGGGACCCGATTTGGGTAAATTGGAGAAGCTGTCACAGGCGCACCAGTGCTCCTCGATCCCTGCCTGGGAGCAATTTCGCGACCATGGTATCTCCTCAAAGACGCTGTGACATGTGGGACAGCCGTTGGGACGAGGAAGCTCTTCCGGCAGTGTGTTTAATTCCAGAATGTGCCTTAATGTGGCATGGATATCATATGGAGAAGTGAGTCGATTCCGGTTTACCTTCAAATTGCGCACTATTTTTGGATACTTCTCTCGAATCCACCGCGGCAGGCGGATGTAGATGAATGGCAGTCGTTCCTCCACAAAACCGCTATCCAATTTCCTCAATGGCCCAAATCTGCTTCCATGGTCACTAAAGAAGATTATGATGGTGTTATCCATAACACCATTTCTGTCTAAAGTCCGCATGTACTCCACCATCTTATTATCCATGGCAGAGGGCATTGAGAAGTCGTTGTGACTAAATGTGTTCGTCCAGAACATGCCAAAGAAAGTACTGTTCCGATTAATCCTGGTAAACTGAACGCCCAGGTCATATATATACTCCGAAGACGGCTTGCGTCCTAGGCAGTAGGGCATGTTACTATGATGCGTTATCTTCAATTCCTTCTCTGCGGCCAGGATCAGTGGTCTGCCGTAAACGTCCGTCGGCATATGAAAGAACCCTCTTTTTGAATATTCGAAGGTGGAGTACTGACTCCAGTCCTCGGCGAAGGCTGTTGTGTAACCCTTGGCCTTGAAGTCCTTCCAGATAAAAGGACAGGCGTCGAGGCCACCCACTTTATCAGGGTGGCACTGTCCGTATGCGGAGGATTTGTTAAAACCAGTGAGAACCGCCATCAGATTTGGAAAGGTGTTGTCGCCCATCTAGTGTAGAAAGGTAAGAATTTTAAATAAGTGGTGATATTTATTCTAAACTTTGAATTGTCCTCCTTGATTTTAAGAAAATCATTTATATTATATGCTCAATTTCCATAACAAAAATACCTTATTGTAGCCCTGCAGCTCGTACCAATGTTGTCCGAGCAAGTACTCGTACATCCGGGGCATTGTCCGCTCAAGGGTCATCCGGGAGATGGAATCGATGCCCCAGAGCAAAACACTGGGTCTTTTTTCCGAATTCGAATCACTGGTTGAATTCCTTCGGGGATGCACAAAGCTGAAAGCGTCCTTTTGGGACACCTTATCAAAAGGGGGCCGTCGGCACTGGGTGATCATGGCTTTCACCTCTGTTGGGACTAAAAAGTCCTGTTGGAACTCCACGCACCGGCCAAGTCTACCGGAATATTCATCTTCAGTGCCCATCTCTTCAAGTTGAACTTGGAACTTACTTGTACTGGTTGTCCGCCATCCTCGAAGCCCCTGCTCGAACGATCTGTCTGTAGCAGCAGGTGCTGTTCTCATTCTTGTGCAGCCTGTTGGTGCTGTCCGTTTCGTTGAAGTTCACTGTGATCATGTCTGGGCTATTATCACACACTATATAGTGATGTTTTCTATCGATCTTAAGGATGTTTTTGGCAAAGGGATCAGGATGTGTCATTTGGCACCGAGGACTATTGACGAAGTATTTCACTGCAGAATTGGTTTCTAATGGATATAGAGTCTCTGTTCTTGAGTCTTCAGAAAGATGTGATGAAGTGCTAGGGTCTGTAATAACCATCGCATCGACTTCTGTACTTTTCTCAATTGATTCCTGGCTAGAACTTTCATTCTCTGTCTCAGTCTCTGTCACAGCACTTAAACTTGATTTTGTAGTATCATCTTTTACTTCTGTAGAACTAAAAGTACCTATTTCAAATATTATATCCAATGCACTTGCAGAGTACGTAGTTGTTTCAATTGATCGCTCCCATGGACTCCAGGATTGATTAGCTAAAGTCGCTACACTCAGCGTATATAACGCAAGAATAAGGAGCACAACACTTAAAAAGCCCATTTTTGTAAACCATTTTGAAGGTTTCCTTTTGATGGATTGTCCCTCTTCCGTTGGAATTACTTCATATTTAATTGTCGTCATTTTATCAAGATTTAACTTTCCCTCTATATATATGTATACATATAGATATTAATTTCTTGTTCCAATTTGTTACCCGGCGTTATCAACTAAATGCCCATATTATAACAGAAACCAGACCCTATATATCCGCTCTGTTCGCGATCTTATGCTCAACTAATTCTATACCATTATAGCTGTCGCTAGCTTTCAGTACTTCGACGTGCTGGCGATGTTCTATTGTTCAAACAGTGAGCACCCGATAGAGATATCTTGGGGTTGCAGCTATTATTTATATTGTTTTATTTGTTTGCTATTTTGGCATCCAACGTTTAATATATTAGCTACCAAGAGTCATACACATATACTAGCATTATTAAAAAATCTATAAATAAAATTGGATGGGTTATGGGAAGTGTTACTTTGGGTCTTTAAACATAAAATAAATTACTGTAGTTCTGTGAATAAATAGACAGAATGAAATATTTTTTTTTCATTGCGTGTTTACCGGTTAAATCCGCTTTTTTTGGAGGGACCCAAAGTTGTTGATCCCAGTTTAGATTTCTTTTATTAAAAGTATATTTTTTCAGTTTTTTTTATTTCCTTAGTCAATTAACTCGTATTTTAATATTCTTTGCTGCTGTTTTTAGAATTTTTAAAACTTTTGTGTTTTACTACATTGCTTACATAAGCGTAACGAATTCACGCTTTTTGGTAGAGGTCGTGCCTCATTGTTAGCCACAATAATTCTTACCTTGGATCAAAGATTATAGCATAACATAGATGGTAGTGGGGAAAGAGTTTTTCTACATTTATAAGGTGCTGAAAATGTGGGGCTTTATCATGTCTTTTAGAAAATAAATATTAGTTAGTCCCTTAGTAAACATTTCTGAAGGCATTTTACTCAAAAAGCATTTACTATAATACTCTTATCTGCTTTGAGTAATGCAAAAACTATTCAGCTTTTCCTTTAAAAAATTTTTTTAAGGCAATTTACTCAAAAAGCATTTACTGTAGTACTCTTATCTGCTTTGAGTTATGCAAAAACTATTCAGCTTTTAAAACGTGAAATTTGTTTCATTCCAAGTAATCAACGGTGTAGTTAAATAAAAACAATAAAACATTTGATTCAGTAAAAACCACGTTTGAGTACAATCGATGATACTCTCTTTTGAAATGCAATTGCCAGGCATTTCAACATGTGCCCGAAGTAGTCAATTTTCTCAGTAACTTCCGAAAAGAGCCAAACGTTGAGTCAATATGGCCTGCAAGGTAATTAAAATGCTATTGTAAATTGATGAGCGGTTGCAAAAACGAATAAATGAAGGTGAATTCACACTGCATACGGCATTGTAATAATTCTATTATTAACTGCTTACAGATTATGAATAAGCTTTGATTTGAGTACTTATTCTGCACATTATAAATCATTTATATGCTTTTAACAGATCGGTGGTTGGTTATTAAATGTCTAAAAAACAATGTTTAAAAAAAATATATATTTTTAAAATTATATGTTCTCATTTTTGGTTTAATATATAATGTTTTGAGCAAGGATGCAAAACCAATTTTTATTTTAAATATTTTCATAGAAAAATGATTAAAAAATATTTAGATCAGATCACGATTACATTTTTGTATATAAAGAAATCACAATTACTTTAAATGTAAGAATATAGTTAAGGGGTCATTACGCTTTGAAATTTTGTCAGCACTTTTGCTTGACATTATAAAACAATCTTTAAATTTTAACCCCAAAAGCATACTACAAAATTCAAATAAAATGCTTAAAAATCGATGACTAAACAACCTAACAGAATCACCCACTTACTATAAATTCCAGCAGAAATAAACTAAAACGTTTCGGGTTTTGTTTGTTTTATTTCAATAATTTAAGTCATTTAAAAATGTACATGTACAGTATACATAATCCAATACGTATGTATACACAAAACTTCATAAATAATAAAATGTTCAAGAAACGCATTACAAATGCTATGCATGTACAATATCTAAATATGCCAAAGATCACGCTGCGCCCCCTGGCTGACCACAAAAAAGGTTTACGGCACAGAGAGGGAGAGTAAAAATTGCGGCCGCATCGTGACAAAAAATACATAATTTCAGTTTCAGTTTGTTATACATAGCATAAATTACATAATACATTTAATTTGTAATGTCATTTCATACATTGACGTTTACACTTATTGTTCTGTTGACGACTTTTCGCTAAGTTTTTCTGTTACATATATCTGTATGTTTTTATATCGGCCTGCTAACGGCCGCATTGCTACTGTTGGTGAGTTGGTTGGTAGGTTGGTTGGTTGATCGGTATTTAGATCGGTATCGGTGCATCCATTGCTCGTAAGGAGATTTAATGCTCAATGCCTTAGATGTCGCACTATCGGAATACGCATAGTGCGAGCGATTGCTCATAACAATTTCTAATACATATGTATGGTAATATTTTCATCAACGACTCTTTTTTACTGTATCTACGCAATCCGTAATGCGTCTTAAACCTCGCTGTAATGCTACATATACGTATCTGCGTGTATATATATATCTGCTTAACGACTTCCACTATTCTCCGCCCCGACGGCTTACGCGGTCTCTACATAGTTGGCCGGATACAGGCCGACGCGCCCATTCATGCGTCCCTTGCACCAGCCTTGTTCGTCTTCATCTTCGAGCTTCTCAAAAACATCACCTGAAAGAGCCAAGCGAAAAGGGTGAGTTAGCGGTGAGCTGTGACCATTGGAGATTATCATATGGAAGGCTTCCACACACCTTGCTTGAATGTGAGCTCATCACTTTCAGCGCCCTCGTAATCATACAGCGCTTTGACCGGCACGCCCGGCTCACCGTTGTCCACCAGCACGTTGTCGCCCTCGTCCCACTCCTCCTCTTCGTCGAATGGATTTGCATCGACTTTGCCGTTGCCGTTGCTGTGTATACAAATTGAAATCAATTAGTTCAATGAAAATGAGCGCATTCAACGCGACGTGTCTATGGGCTGACCAGCAAGCCAGCAGGCCATCGAGCAGTCCGAGTGTAATTCAAAACAATACAAACTGTTTCAACTTACGTTACGCTCGGATTGCGATTGGATGCCGCTGATGCCGCCGTAGCTGCTGCTGCCGTTGCTGTCGCAGCGCCGGCAACTGCCGCCGACGTTTTAGCTTCCGATGTGGTGGCTGAGGATTGCGTGGTCGCTATGTCGCTCTTTACACTCGCTCTGCTGCTAACACTGTTTAAGGTGCTGGTGTTCTTCTTCAGGCTGTTCGTCGAGGGGTATTCCTGCTGAAGAAGAGCAAGCTTAGTCTGTGATTTTAAATACTGCTTAGTCAAAGCTAGCTTACATGCACATCCTCGGCCACAGGTCGCTGATTGATGAGCGTGATGGGTGCTGCCGGCAGTGCCTCTTTTGATTTGTTGCCCTTGGCAATGTCACGGAACTCCTCCGTGTATTCCTGTTAACAAAGCGGAAGTTCCATTAAAGACTCGGTTGTATTGCAAAGTTTTAGGAAACCCACCACAAATGATGGCCAGTTCATGGCCATGTTAATGCCATGATTATTCGACCACCATTTCAAGTCTTTCTGCTGGTCTGCATTGTTAATCGTGTGAGAGAACTCTTCGTAAATTTGGGGCAGGCTGAAACACACATGAAATATTTTATAAGATAGTTTTAAACTTAAGATCAAAATCAATTCCCACCTTTGCACTTTGGTGAGGTCAAGACAAGAGTGCACGTTGAACAGGATCTCTTTGAAGAACTGCAACCGCGTCTTCTCAAATGTTTGGCACTTATCGAACACGGATGTCATGTCCTCGATGTACACCGAATTATATTTGGTGATTTCGGCAATAGCTTGCTCGTACTTCTCTCGGCACTTTTGCACTTGATCTTTGGTCTTTTGCACTCGATCGTGCATTTTCTTTACCTGTTTAAGAAATTATAAAGGATTAAAAATTAAACTATAAGTTTTATCATCTTGAAAGGTTAATGAAATATGGGATTTAAATTATCTATTTGCTTTCATTTTCATATAATACATTCTTTGGAACTTTTAAACATTTTTCAATAAATAAAACAAGAGGAAACGCAATAGTCGAGTGCCGCGACTATAAGATACCCGTTACTGTTTCACACAATTTTAAAATATTAATTTTGCTAGTGGAAATTCACAAGGCGCCACCTATTGTCAGAGGAAGTATGTTGAGTATGCTTATAGTGACGTCACTCCCCATGTGAGGCCTTATAACTTAATTTCTTTATAAATAGCGAAATAATGTTCCGATTTGAAAAATCTTTGGTAAATCGATAGATATTAACAGAAATAAGTTATACAGGGTCAAACGAAGGCATTCATAATAATGTTATAGACGCCACAGTTTTCCGCGGTTTGTGGGCGTTAGAGTGGGCGTGGCCTGATGCAACTTCGTAGCAAGTTGCAGAGACATTTCTTAAATACGTGTTCCTAAGCAAAATTTTGTAGCTCTTATAGCTTTCGAGATTTTTGCATTTTGCGTTAGAGTGGGCGTGGCTTCATCGTTAAAAACCAATTCGCATTGGGAGCATTATTAAAACCTACATGCTTGATCCGAACTTTCTATCTCTTATAGTTACCGAGATATCAACTTTTCTAGAAAATCCGAAAACCGTCTTTTGAGCCTTGTGGGCATATGAGTGGGTGTGACCGGATAGTAGAACCACTGTAAGATGCGCTAGCATCTAAATATTATACTTTCTGAATTTCAACTTTCTAGCTCCAATAGTTCCTGAGATTTCAGCAATTTCAGTTTTTTGCGATTTGTGGGCGTTAGGGTGGGCGTGGCAGGATGCTGTAATAAACTTGCGCTGTCCCGGGACCTCAAGAATCTTCATGGTTAATCTCAACTTTGTATCTGTTATAGTTCCTGAGATCTCAGCGTTCATACGGACGGACGGACGGACGGACGGACGGACAGACGGACATGGCCCAATCGACTTCGCTATTGATCCTGATCAAGAATATATATACTTTATAGGGTCGCAAACGCTTCCTTCGATCTGTTACATACTTTTCAACGAATCTAGTATACCCTTTTACTCTACGAGTAACGGGTATAAAAAGACATTCTCTTCAGCTTTTCAAATAAGATATAAGTTCTG